TCTACTTTTAAAAAACACTATAACGAATATCCTTGACATAAATCTCCCTGCCTCCCAACTGATTGTTTTACTAAAATTAGCTTCTAAAAGCAGAATTGGTGGACAGGACCATAAAATTGCTTTTTCAGATCATTCATCTCAAACTTTCCTCCCACCCGCTGAGCTTGAGAATAACCAGAATCTTGGAAAATCCTGTGGGTGGGTCACGAAGTGCTTCCCAGGAGCCCCTGGCACCCTCCACCAACAGGCTTAGAACTAGGAGTTAGGAAGCAGATCATCAGGTAGGGAGGGTAAGCACGCAGCCATGCTGACTGAGGAGGCATTTTCAAAGAGCTTTGCATTTTGGCCAATTAATATACATTCACTAACTATCTATAGAAATATATGAGAGAAAATGACCACAGGGATTTTGTACTTCTCTGGAAACCAGTTTGGACTAAAAAGACTACCTGTGGCAAACTCAGGACAATTTGAGTCATTCAGACTGAAGAAATCCCTTGAATACAGCAAGCTAACTAGTTGGCCAGCTGGACCTAGGAAGTTTCTAGACTATCTTAACTCCTGTTTCTCACCCTGTATTATTTCTTTGGAATGAATTGCATTCTTCTAGATTTATATGTTGAATTCCTAACCCCCATGTGATGGCATTGGGGTGGGGGGTTGCGAGGCGATGAGGTCATGAGGGTGCAGCATCTCCATGATGGATTAGATCTTTCTGCCATATAAGGACACAGCAAGAAAATGGCCAGCTGCAAGCCAGAAGAAGAGTCCTTACCCATAACTTGATGTTGAGCTTCCAGCTTTCATAACTATGAGAAATAGACACTTGTGTGTAAGCCACCTGGTCTGTGGTGTTTTGGTATAACAGCCCGAGTTGACCAAGGCAATTCCCCTTATGCTACCTTTCCTACCTTGAAGTGAGAAGTATATTAAAATCTTTTCCTATTCTCTGTCCTGAGAACAGAGAGGAATACAGCTGTGACCATCCCAGGAGCCTAATAAAAATGATGTATTAATGTGTCTTTTTTTTTTCTCTTACACTTTGATCAATAAGTCAATTTCTAGAGATAGCCAACAGGGTGCCCATGAGCACACTTCTCAAACCAACCAGTCCGAAGTCTAGGGGCCACCCGCCTCCTCTTTTATGCTCCTACATTCTGGGCCACAATGACCTGCCTTAATCACTACAGGGCCAGGTACCAGACAGCCAGAGGCAGTCTCTTTGCCCCAGAGCATGTCAAAATTCTCAGATTAGCCAATCCTAAATCTACCTGCGCTGCCTCACCTGTTCCTCCCTGGAGACACCACAAAGCCTCCTGTCTGTGTCGTTGTGTCCCCCAACCCCCACACCATCTCCCGACTGGCCCTGGCATGTTCCCATGTGGCCCTGCATGACATCCTTTTGGGAGCTGTACCAGTTGACATCACCGTACCTCAACATTTCTATTAAACACTTTATTTTTTAAAAAGCATTCTCCAAACCAGCTGATGGACTAAACCATTTCGCACTTTGTCTTTTTGTCCCTATCCTGTGCCATTGAAAACTTTGACTCTATAAAGACCAAGATGAACAGGCAAAAAACCAGATGGAAATGTTGGCAGTGGTTCCCTCGGTGGGCTTGGTGGTCTTTCCACAGCACAAATACTCGTTTGTTCTTCTGCTTGGAACCAGGAGAAGGCTTGACCCTGCAGCCCATCTATCCCCTCTCTGTGCACCCTCAGCCTTTGTCCTGCTCTGTTGGAATTATCTCCATGTTGAGCACTTGCCAGGCCAAGACCCAATATTTCTTCTTTACCATTTTATCTGCAGAGCTTAGCACTAGGCCTGGCACATACTTTTGAAATGAATAAATGCCTGAATGTATGAATAAAGGAGTACATGAAAAGAAAAGGGAAAGACTGTTTCCTTCACATGAAATGCAATCCTTGGTGAGCCCTCCAGTCCCCCCTCTGCAGCAAGGCCATTCCTAACCCTGCAGTTGCAGGATGTGATCATGAGCTTGGAGTAAGTCATCCCGGCTTCGACTCTGCTCCAGAAGGGCCTGCAGCCGCTCGTGGGTGCAGAGAGGTCCTTCCATCTTCTTGCCCACGTATGTGGTGGCTAATTTTATGTGTCAACATGACTGGGTCATGGAGTGCCCAGATTAGACCTTCTTTCTGGTTATGTTCCTGACATCATTTCCAAATGAGATTAACATTTGAATTGGTAGCCTCAGTGGAATAGATGGCCATCCCCTAGGTGAGTGGGCATCATCCAATCATTGAGGGCCTGAAATGAATAAAAGGCAAACAAAATAAAAATCCACTCCCTTTAAAAAAAAATTTGTCTCAGTCAGTGCTTGAGCTGAGACATCTCCTCTCATGTGTCCTCAAGCTGGGATTTACCATCAGCTCCCCTGCTTCTCCAGTCTTTGGACTCAGACTAGATTTAAGCACTGGCTTTCCTGGATATCCTTTTTTTTTTTTTTTTGTACCAGGGATTGAACTCAGGGACATGCATTGAACTCAGGGGCATGCAACCACTAAGCCACATCCCCAGCCCTATTTTATTTAGAGACAGGGTCTCACTGAATTGCTTAATGCCTTATTGTTGCTATGGCTGGCTTTGAACTCACGATCCTCCTGCTTCAACCTCCTGAGCTGCTGGGATTACAGGCATGCACCATTGTGCTCGGCTTGGATATCCTCTTGCATATGGTAAATCATGGGGCATCTTGTCCTCCAAAATTATGTAAGCCAATTCCTCATAATCTCTTTCTCTGTTACACACACACACACACACACACACACACACACACATACTCTCTCTCTCTCTCCTCCCTATTACCCTATTAGTTCTCTTTCTCTGGAGAACCCTGGCATGGCCACTCTGGGCTGGGAACAGCTGACCAGCTCTGTCCATTGCTTCAGAAGCAGCTCATTTTCTAGTCTTTGTATAAACACAGAAATATCTGAAAGTTATAGCAATAGGTGCAAATGAATCACAGACAGACATTGGCATCACCTCAGTCTGCTTTCAAAGTTCAGTTGCGTGAAATTACAGTGACAGGGCAGAGATAATGATCGGTTCACAGGATACTCTCGAATGCAGGGTGTCAGGACAGCCAGCCCTCCCTCCATAACTAGGTAATCTTTTTTTTTTTTTTTAATTTTCTTTGTTCTTCTTAGTTATACATGACAATAGAGTGTATTTTGATGTGTTATACATACATGGAGTATGACTTCCCATTCTTGTGGTGGACTGAGTTGAGGTCCCCTTTTCCTTTCTAGGGATCTCCTTGAACCACATTGGGTGACAAGGAGATCGTGGAATGAGATTCTGGATTTGCAGACACGTGGGACACATCCCTGGCCATGCTGAGCAGGACCTCCTGTGCTGGGTGTCATTGGGTCCTCCCCTAAGATCCCCAGATGCTCTAGGACAGCATTTGATACCACAGGCTGATACCAGACCCACTACCTAGCCCTGACTTCCTTTGCTCAGAACAACTCAGTACCTGAAGGGCACTCGGATACGACCTCGCTCCCCTCCCACCTATGACTCCCCAGGTCTCCTGTTGCCGTGGCCACAGTCAAGCATGTCAGAGCCCAAAGGACCCAGGTTCCCCAGCATCTTACTGCTCAAGTCCCACAGCCTGTCCTGTTGTGCGCGTTGCTTTCCAATCCCTTCTTGCCACGTGATCTCATTTAACTAATTTACGACTCCAGACTGCAGAGTGAATCATAGCGGTTTGTTTCCTTTCCCTGGTTGCAAACTGAAGAAAAGCAGGCTTCATTAATTCAAGCGCTTATCTTCGACCAGTGTGTTAACAAGCTTTTAAATGCTGCTCCAGCCACTGAGCTTTTTTGAGGAGGTGAAAGGGCTTCTGGTCCATATGGTCTAGATTCTTAGACATTTTCATTTCAAACGCTAAGGTTGACAGAGCTGTTAAGAGCAAATGGGGTGTTAGTTAATATCTAATTACTCCTAGCACAAGTCACAGCTCATTTAACTGAGGCAGACGCCAGTCTCTGCTTCTACCGACGGACACATTTAGGACATCAATTTACACTCTGTCTCTCAGCCACTTGCCTGTCTCTTGCCTGTGTAACAGTCTCACCATCCAGTGTGACTCCACAGCCGCTTTCTTGCCAGTCATGCTTCGACACCTAAGTCCACCCGTGCCACTCTCACATTCCCTGATATGCTAGTGGACGTTGGGATCCCAGGAACAAAAGACTGTCAAAAGATGCTGCTCCAGGGTTTTCCAAAAGCAGCGACACTCAGGTTTGAGTACAGTGAACCCTGGGCTGGCTTCTGGGTGCATCTTGTTTTCAGAAAAGCACCGGGCTGGGGAATCTGCAGGCAGGAGCTGATTTTCTGGCATGGTTCCCAAACTCCAAGAAAGTCACCACAAAACAATGCCCGTTTCTTCCACGTGAAATACAGTGAGTCATGGCACCTCGCCTGGACCCACTCATGTTTGGGATGGCCTGGCTAAGCCTAGGCAGAATGGGGTTAGAATAATCGAGATGGAAACCATGTTACATGTCCTTTCTGCAGAAGGGTACCTGGAAGGAAAGAAGAATAAAAGAAAGGGCTGAGCTAAAGTAGGGCTGCTCAAAGACCTGCCATGAGCAAAATACTAGAGGAGGAGAATTTAAAAGGTGAGATTTGATTATATTCCTTGAATGTGTTCAGGGATAGAAATGCAAAGGGGACCTGCTTACTGAAGAGCATTCAGCTAAAAGAGGAAGTGAGTAGAAGTCACTGGAAATCTCCCCAGTGAGTGCGTGATTCCTCAGAGAAGGCTAGAGGTGTCGAGCAGCACCCTAAGAACATGCAGGAGATAAATTCAAAGGTGGTCCAGGAGGAACAGAACTCCAGGGGCAGCCACTACAAGTCCTTCTGTGAGGGGCAGATGGCGAGGTTCTAGAACTCCTTAGACTAGGGACAGTGTGCGTGGAAACCATCACTTCATCAAGAGAATTTTCATTTTAAAAAAAATTACAGAGAGAACAACGAATTAAAAGAATTTTAATAAAATCAACAAGTTTACATTTGTACATCTTGTGTATCTGGGACCCAGTCAGGGGAGAAGGATAAAGTTGCAAGGACAAACGGTTCTATGGAACAACAGGCAAAAAAGCAAGGACTACCCCAGCTGCGCAACAGACATCTGGGTGACAATGAACCCCACGGCCACCTCCCTGCACCCTAGAGTGAGCAAGCGCAGTTTACCAAACTTCCCAGCTCTGAGCTCAGGCCCAGGCCCCCCAGGCGACGTGACGCTCCTGTGTTAATACTTGATAGGCCACGGCAGATAAACAGTCCATAAAATTAAACAGTATTGCCCATAGAATATTAATGTAAATTGATTTCTGTTCATGCTGTTTTAACTAGAATGGCTACGCTGAACCTAATGAGAGGGAAAAGGTCTGAGTGACAGTTCTAATTGCTCTATTCAACGGCAGTCACAAAACAGCAGGCCTGGTAGAAAGAATCATGTATTTGTCTTAAAAATAGGATTTAAGAAAAGGACCTCGTGAGAGAGCAAGAGGGGTTAGAGAAGACAGTTTTTAACATATGAGACAATCCTGCATGTTGCCATATTATTCCGCCCGTGTTAAATGATTCAGTAGAGGGGAAACTGCCCAACTACAGCTTTCATTCTTGGAGACAATGGCAGGCGTTTCAAAATATCCATCCAGCTTCAGAGCGGGGAGGAAAGAAGAGACTAGTGTCCCCGGGTCAGGAGTGAGCAATCCCAAGCCTTTTCCAAGACCGCACCCATCTTGTGGACAGAGAAAGCAGTGTTTTTAAAAGTATAATGCTGCGTATACAGGTAACTTGCTCTTTGGGGAATACAAACCTCAACTCACAGGTTGCAGTGATAACACATGCAACAAAATGAGTTCCTAAACAGTCATCCAGGAACTGATGCTCATGACCCGGCTTGGAATTCAGACCAGTTTACACAGCACAGCATACACCTGAGCCAAAAGAGAATTTCTTCATTGTTTATTCTTTAGATAATTGAAACATGGTTAGGAAAAAAAGGTGCCAACTCCCCCAAAAACACAAGGATGTTTTTGCTTCTTGGCTCACTCAGAATCCCAAAAGAAAAAAAAATACAGTGATCATTATTAGTATAACAAACATTTTTTAAAGAACAGACAGTGAGTTCTTTATTCCCCCCAGGAAGGCCCAGGATGATGAAGAAAGGGTGTGTTTCGCCGCCCTCCTATTATAGGTACCAGCAGATCCCGGTTTCTCAAACATCGTGGTTACGGGGTATATTGTCTTTATGGAAATTCTTCCCAGCACAGGTCATCACAAGGATGAAATTCCAAAGAGGCAGTGAAATGGTAAGCGCTGCAGCTTGTCTGACATGATGCAGAAGCACAAAGCAAATCCCCAGGTGGTTATGGATGAGAGACCTTTCTTCTGCAGATTCCGGAAGTCTCAGAGCAGGCGTAGAAAGTGCTGGCAGGTAAGTCAGCCTGACTGGACCTCCTTGGAAAATCTTTAGAAGCACCTATCAGGAGCAAGGGTGCCTCCATTCAGGGCAAAGGCAGTTTTGCCCAGGGTCTGACTCCTAAAAAGCACACTTGGTTTAGCTTCTCTTGTTTTCCCTTTTCATTTCTCAAGTCTTCAGTAGGAGGTACGTTTTCACAAGAAAAAAATAGCCCTAATGAACATGACAGATGAATTTCTCAATGAGAGAGGAACTACAAAGATGCTATGAATTCAAATGAAAAGGTTTAGTGGAACCTGTTCATCAGGGAGCTTCTAATCAGCAGATGATGTCACTGCAAAGGAACCTGCCTTCAGGTCCCCAACATCTTGGGCTCCCTGTGCCCACTTCAGAATGGGCAAACTAGCTTCTCTCTTGGACCTTTATCGGTTTCCAAAAAGATCTCCATTTGCTAGGCAGTCCGAAGCACAGGAATTTACCCAAAAGTGATTGATGGAGTAAACAAAACAGAACTTTTTGGGGAATGAGAGCTGATGGGAAGAAGAAACAAAAAGTATGTCCCTAAGGTTGGCCTCTTATAGGGACAAAGGCAGAGCCAACATAGTTGGAGAACCGTGCCCTGGACATGCCCGGGGTGGGAAGGGCTTCACCTGAAGACCATGCAACACCTTTCCAGTGCCCAGGTGTCTCAGGAGGGCTCTCTCACCTGTCCCGACCACACGGGGAAGACTCCCTTTTCTTTGAGGGGAGACCTCTGTTCTGGACGACTGTGTTTCTGGACAGGTGAACTCAGGCCTACTTTCGGGACTCTCAGGGACTCCCATTTACATTCATACAAAGAACGGTCAGCAGTGAGGTGTCCTTGTTTCACAGGGACTTCGGTGTCCCCGGCACCCAGGTGCCTTCCCTTTGTCCCGCTGGCATGAAGTGTGGCAGCTGTCTGCTCTTGGTGTCCAGCAGGCTTAGAAAAGACCTCGGAGTCCCCCTTGTGTGCTTGAGCCAAGCTTTTCAAGTCCGGGTGCCAGGGCTGGGCGAGCTGGGCGTCGTGTGTCTGTTGGTGGCACAGTGGGTGTGCACAAGCCCTCCATTTGGGTATCTGACAAACACAGGCTCGCCAAAGGGATTCTGGCACAGCTGGCAAAGCTTTTGGTCCGAGAGCCAGATTGCGCTTCCTTTCAACTTCATCTGCAAATAGAAACCAAGAGTAGTCACGCTGCATTTAAATCCCAAGTGACCACCTTCTGTTTTTTAAGAGTTGATGCACTTCCTCCACCCCAACCCTGCAAGGATGGTTCTCTCTGATGCAGACTGTTTTCATATCAACTTCTTTAAACAGTATGCAAGCAGTGGAAATAATCAAACCATCCTTGGTACCCAGAGAAGTAAAAAAAAAAAGCTGTTCTTTGTTTATAAAAGAAATTGCTGCTTGTTGGCATTTCTATTCCAGATTCTCCCTCCAACATTCTCAGGGCTCTGTTTCACCCTAGGCCTGATGTGAATGTGAGAGCCACACAGGACCATGCACCATCTCACTCCCTGGCCCTCGCACTTGCCAAAAAGAAAAGTACAAAAAAGGGACTTGGCCAAGGTTCTGTGGCAAATGAGAGGCACATTCCTGATTGGCTGGGCAATACAATCTCTTTTCTTTAGAGGTAAACAATAAAATGGAGCTGTAAAACCATCAGCCCAGGTCCGGTAAACAGACTTCAATTTTGCAAATGGAAAAGTTCTAAAAATTCACTCTCTACTTGCTGTTGCCATGAGCCCTGAGCTGCTTTCCTTCACCATGCCCTTCAGCCGTGCTGTTCTGCCTCACCTTGGGCCCAGAACTATGGAGTCTGCTAGCCATGAACTGAACCTCTGAAACCCACTTGGACTCCTGTGTATGATCATAAAGAAGAATGTAAAAGCACAGAAAGTGAAGAGGGAAAAAATGATCTTCCTGGCTTTGGTTTTCAAAAGTCCTTCAAAATATGGAAACTGAGGAAGAGAGATCAACTATTTTGCACAGGGTCCTATGACTGGCAGGTGGAGGAGCCAGGATCCTCCCTTAGGAAGCCTGGTTCTGAAACTGGTTCTCTTTTTCACTCTGTGATTCATCTAACCTGGAGCCAGCTGAATATTTTTGTCTGTTGAATTCAGGAGAGAGAACGACTATTCCAGTCATGGCAAACAGAGTTAACAGAGTTAGCTCATCGTGAATGCAAATCCGATTGCTTTGTGGCTGCTGCTTGGAGCACGTGCCAGATTTGCCAAGAGCTGGTTGATTAATGCCACTCAACAAAGTAGCAGCAGGTCCAGGGACTATTCCACTGAAATATTTAGGTCCTGAACCCCCTGGCAGGTGGTCCCCTCCACTAACATTAATCCCTTGCTCTTCTCTCCAGCACCCATGCTCACTGCCTTTGCTTCTCCATGCTCCCTAAAATGCTGCCCCTCTTCCCACGGCCCAACCATGCTACCTCTACCTCCCATGTGAAATGCCTACACCACCCAACCTCAATCATCTTCATTTTCATGGAATCTGTGTTGTCATGTGTGTTCCAACACTTGTGAATAGGCAAAGACAGATTTCAAGACCACCACCAGACCCTGAAGTTGGGAGCAGGCAGGAGGAGTCCATCTTTGGTCTCTGTCTCTCCCTAGAGCCCAGCTCAGAGCCTGGTGCAATTTGGATGCTTTACAAAACATGCATAAAATAAATAAATAAAAGAATGAATGGGTGGATTCTTTAGATGTTTCCCATTTGTATACCTTGACAGCTCTTTGAGAGTAGGGATATGTTATCTAATTCTTTTGGGCTCTCCCCCATACCACTGTGATGCATAGTAATTACTTCAAATCTGTGAGGACAGAAACTGAGCCAACAAAACCTCCTTCACGGAGGAGTTATTGAGCAATCTGAATGAGAGGGAGAATAATAAATATTTGACTTACAAATAATAATGATGAAAGTCATGGCACTTGTTGGCTCAACTGTCTTGGCTGTCTAGATCTACTATTTTCTACATGCATTAGTCAATGCTTCTTTTTTACTCCCCATGGTAACAAACAAGTCAGATCAGTTAGCTTTGGCTGCGCAATAAGCAACCCAGAACTTGGTGGCTTAAAACAATAATGGCCTACATACTTCAAATGGGTGATCTTTAATTGATAAAATAAAGTTGTCAAAAAACCAAAAAGTCCTACACAATTCAGTTCGGTCAACCCAGGCAGGTGAGTCTATTGACAGGATCGAGTAGCAAGTTGGTAAATTGATCTTGTACTCATTAGTTGCATTCATCATTCAACAAAACAACTTATTTAACACCTTCAGCATGCTGGGCTTGGCCCTGGGGAAACTGAGATAAATAAATGAAGTTTCCTACCCTCAAAGAACCCAGTCTAATAGTAATAAGAGAGAATCATGAATGTATGACAAAGCGTGCAGATGAGCAGGGGGGAAGGCGGTTCATCTGCTGTGGGTATGAGATGGTTTCAATATGGACAAGTGAGTAGGCCGAGTTCTGACCTGGTTTTCACCAGACAGAAAGGAAGAGGCAGGAGTATTTCAGATGGTGGGAACAAAACATGCAAAGGCCAGGAAGTGTGGAGCAGCACGTCACCCCTGGGTGGTGCCTGGCTGAGACCAGGATCCATGCCAGGAAGCAGGAAGAGGATGCAGGGCGGCATCTCCCAGGCCATGGGGAGTCCACACAGGCTTTATGTGTGAGAAGAATGTGGATTCCCGCTCTGCCACCACATGGAGTATCCAGACAGGGAGGACAGCTTGGTGACAAGAACTGGCCCAGGAGGCACTTCTGGGCCCTTCCTCTGACTGACTGTGACCTCCCTGGGCTTCAGTTTCCTCTGCTGTGCAGTGGAGAGGACACTAGTAGACACGACATAAAGCTGTTGTGGTGATGAAATGGTATGATGGAAAGTGCCAGAATGGTGCCCGGCCGTTGCTACCTGGTCAGCGAGCAGCACCTTTCTGACTCTTCTCCTTCCTCCCTTCCCCCACCCCACCTGCTCACTGATCATCAGTGTTCAAAAGGGGAGAAGAGCTACCCTGATGTCCTGCCCCCCACCAGCTCCTGCCTCTCCCCACACCAACCTGTTTCTAGATGGGAACAATCTGGTACTCGATATGTTGAAGTCACAGAGAAGAAAAAGCTGACCAAGACCATCTGCGCAGGTAAACCTGCCTTGCACAACTCACGGGCAGGCAGCAGAAGTCCACCCATCCAGTAGGCCAGGCACTCACCTTATTGTATGTGTAGATCAAGTTTTCTGACCTGGCCAAGCCGACAGCCACCTGCGTGGTCCTCCTGGCGTGGATGCTGTCCCTCATGGCCCCAGTCAGGAATGGGCAGAGCAGTTGCACCGACCAGGAGCCAGGCAGCAGCTGCAACACCTGTGTGGCATCAAACTCCGTGGCGTGGCGGTTCAGCAGGTCCACAGCAGCCACAGTCAGCTCGTGGGCAGCGGGGCCGGCGTGCAGGTACATGGCGAGCAGCGTGTGAAAGAGGTGCCGGCGGCAGGGTGCGTCCTGGCCCTCGGAGCTCCACAGGCAGTAGTCCTCGGCCGCCGAGAAGTCCCCCAGCTCGTGCACGAGGATGTGCAGGGCTTTCCCGTGCTCGCCCAGCTTCCCGTGGAGGATGGCGCTCTCCATGGGCAGGCCAGCACCCTGGATCCTCTCTGTGGGACAAAACTGCCACTCAGAAACAGGCAGGCTTCTGCCAGGGGAACCACTGCATCCTGGTGCTCCAAGTCTCAGAAAGGGCAGCCCCTGGCTACCTCGACAGTGCTAAATACTGCCGCCCGGCGACCCTGGGAGGAAAGCTCTACTTCTACTGGCACCGTGCCAATTTGGATCTTAGTAAAACAGAAGATGGAGTCTACTTTTTTTGGGTACTGGGGACTGAACCCAGGGGCACTGGACCACTGAGCCACATCCCCAGCCCGTTTTTGTATTTGATTTAGAGACAAGGTCTCACTGAGGTGCTCATCAGCGCCTCGCTTTTGCTGAGGCTGGCTTTGAACTGGAGGTCCTCCTGCCCCAGCCTCCTGAGCTGCTGGGATGACAGGCGTGCGCCACCACATGGCTGGACTCTACTTAATATGTTTAGAGAATGAACAAAACCAATGATCCAGGATCCCAGAAGGCCCCGGTGAATCACTCCGCACTCCGGGTCTCCAGGTCTTCAGCTTCCCAGTGTAGTATATTTTCTTTGACTAAGGCAGAAGGGTACAAGAGCTGTCACTCTGTGTCCTGGGGGGATTGTTCCAGGACCCAGCCTCTATGGTATCAACATACACCATGCTCAAGTTCCTTATAAAAAACAGAACAGCACTTGTACACATCCTACATACCTCCCCATGTATTCTGACATCATCTCTGGATTACTCACAACACAATGCGGCACGAATGCTGCACCCATGTTTGTCATACTGTATTGTTTAGGGAGCAATGACAAGACAAAGGCTTGTACACGACTAGTACAGACACAGTTTGGGGGGAACATTTTCAATCCCAGTTGGTTGAATCTAGAGGGGCAGAGCCCACAGGTAAGGAGGGCTGACTGTGTATCCCCTTAAATCCAAACACCCCCCTCCCCAAAAAGGTGTGTTTTATATCAGTTTATTCCAATTCCACCGGGATTACAGTGGCTCATGCCTGTAATAGCAGCACCTCAGGAGGCTGAGGCAGGAGGATCGCAAGTTCAAAGCCAGCTTCAGCAACTTAGTGAAAGGCCTTAAGCAACTCAGTGAGACCCTCTCTCTAAATAAAAAATAAAAAGGGCTGGGGATGTGGCTCAGTGGTAAAGCATCCCTGGGTTCAATCCCCAGCACCCCTCGCCCAATTTAAAGTACACTTCACTGAAAGGAATATGATGAGCTTATATTGCTAAAAACCACAACTACACCACCCAACAAAAGGTTGAAAGCAAAACACAAGGCTTTTTTTCCCCCCCCCAATTTTCCCCACAATTAAGGGTCCAGGTAACAAGGAAATGACAGACCCAAAGGCAGTGTCACTCTGAAGGCCCTACCTTGTGTGGACAGAGCCTCACTGGCAAAGTCGCATCCCCCCCCCCCCCCAGTGGAATAGGAAGATGCAAGTCCTCTTCCTACTGCTCAGGGTTATTTTGAGGATAACACTTGGTCTGAGGTCATGCTTAATACTCAAGTGACGGGCACTTGGCCTCTGAAGCTTGGTCACACAGGGGTTCCCTCAGGCTAATGCCCAAGACAGACATGACCAGGATGCAGCCAAGGGCTGGGTGTGCAGCCTGTGTCCACTGCAGCACCAGACACCACCCTCCTCCTGGTGAAGGGTCAACACACAATTGCTCAGAGGCTTCAACACTTGAGTCACAGGGAGACGTGCAAAGGTGCGAAGGGCACTGTGGCGATGCACACTGTTTACACCCATCACCGCACTGATACCCGATTCCCGGTACCCCAAGGGGACTGGTTTGGCAGGGATGGTTACCACAGCTTCCCTAGCCTAGTGTATCTCCAAGTCACCCAACTAACCAACCAGGGGTTACTGCCATGCTGTGGTGACAGCTTGAGTGTGTCCCCCACAGCTCACGTGCTGGAAGCTTAGTCCTCAGAGTGGCCATGTGAGAGGAGGCGGAGCCCAGTGGAAGATAATTAGGTCCCTGAGGGATCACCTTCAGAAGAGACAGAAGTAGTTCTCCTGGGACCCTGGTTAGTTCTCATGAGAAGGTTGTCATAAGAGATCAAGACTGGCCCCTCCTTCATCTCTCTCTGGCTTCCTGTCTTTCCCTGTGATCTTTCCCTCTCTCTCAAGTGCTCCCACCAAACAGCCCTTATCAGAAGCCAAATCAATAGGGGCAATGCCCTCTTGGACTTTTGACCTACAAAACTTTATGCTAAATAAAACTTTTTTATATAAATTACCTAATCTCAAGTATTTTGTTATAGCATCAGAAAGTAGACTAATCCAGATACAAAGTTAATCTCTGATTTTCTAATGTTATTTCCATAGTGTGTTGGGGGACCCTCACTGCCTGCAAGACCCCCAGTTCTTGCACAAGGATACACTGTATGTGCTCAAAAGCTGGATGAATGAAAGCCATGGTCAGCAAATTTATGTAAGGCAAAAAAGTATGTCAAAGGTGTTAGTAAAAGCCAGGTGCAGTGGCACTTGACTGTAATCCCAGCAACTCAGGAGGCTGAGGCAGGAGGACTGCAAGTTCAAAGCCAGCCTCAGCAAAGTAAGGCACTAAGCAACCCTGTCTTTAAATAAAACAATACAAAATAGGGGTAGGGATGTGGTTCAGTGGTCAAGTGCCCCCGAGTACAATCCCCATTACCTGCCCCCACCACAAAAAAAAGCGTAAATAAAGATATTTAACAGCCTTTATAGTATGGGCACCAACCAATAAAAACACACAGTGGCTGTAGGCAATCTGCATGGCTGCATGCACCACAGGCGAAGGGGAGCCCTGGGTAAATGCGAGCTAGAACCAGCATTTGCTGTTCACGCCAAACATCAGTACACGTCCATGCTCTGGCTCTGCTGCTCATGAGCTGTGTGACCTGGGGCAAGTTGGGTAAATCTTTCAGCTTCAATTTATGTGCTCTCCTATAACAACGGGAAGAGTGCTAGGACTTACTTCATATAAACTGCAGAAATTAAGCATTGTAACACGTTCTTGGCATCTTGACTTATGCCTGGTGCATTTTGCTCTTTGTTAGTAATTTTACTGAAGGCTGTGCTGAGCCTTATGGAAAAAATTTGTGCATTACATAGGCTTTAGTTTTACATGAGTTATAGTGTTGTTGACTGTGAATTTAATGGTAATGAATGAACAATATATGAAGGTGTCGTTAAACAGAAACATGCATTGTTGAGAGACTTTACAGGGGGAGCACAAGAGGCCTACCCCACCTCCAGGCAGGCTGACTGTCTATGTACTGACAGGGTTATGAAATGTTGGGCAGGTTTGCAGAAATCTAACCCTGTATTTCCCCTACTGAACATAGTTCAATGCTTCCTAATTCCATGTTTGTGGAGACTTCCAAGAACACAGCTACCAGGAACAATGAGAAGGGATGTAATGGTTGGAAAATGGCACTAATGCTGTTAAAGAAAAACACGTTACTAATCTAAGTAAGTACAAATCCAGGTGCACTGGCACTTGACTGTAATCCCAGCAGTCTTACTGTACTGGTGTCCAGTACAGTAAGAAAGTGGTCAATGCTACCAGTGCAGGACCACACTGCTATGTGGCACTCTCCACAATATGGACACTGTGGTCTTTGCCCTCTAGAGAAACTGGAAACTCAAGTTCCCTCTAAGACACCTGCAGTGCTTCCATGGCTTAGGGCTCAAGGGACTTCAAGCCATGACCAAGGTTTGAAGACCAAGAAAGGGCCACTGGAACAGGACCAGTTGGCAACGTTTTGACCAAATGCAGCTGGTCCAAAGTACTCACAGGTTTCACATCTGAGAACTGAACCAATCACAGATCAAAAAAAAAAAAAAAATTTTTGAACAAAAAAGAACAAAAACCAAAAAATCAAACAGTAACAACAATTAAAAAAGAAAACCCAAAACTGGTCAGGTGCAGAGTGGCACATGCCCGTGATCCCAGCTCTTCGGCAGGCTGAGGCAGGAGAATCACAAGTTTGAGGCCAGTCTGGGCAATTTAATGAGATCCTTTTCCCAAATAAAATAAAACAGTGCTGGGGTGTAGGCTCAGTGGTAGAGTTCACTGGCTTCCTTCCCCAGTACAGCAAAGAAAATAAAGTAAAAAAAAAAAAAAAAAAAAATCGCATCTGTGACAGACTTAAATGATGAAGTATAACAATTATTTACCTAGTGTTCACATTGTGTGAGGTATTATAAGCAATCTAAATGGGAGAAAGTGTACAGGTCCCATACAAACACTCGCTATTTTCTCTAAGGGACTTGAGCATCTGCAGACTTGTATCCTGGGGGGTCTGGAACCAATCCCCCAAAGATACCTAGGCACTACTGTAGTGGAGTCATCCAAAGAAACCAGGACTGGGTGTTCAAAGCTGAATCGAGAGGTTTAAATGAAGGACTGATCAACAGCCATGCACACGGCCAGGACCTGTCAGAGCAACTCTGATGTCACCAGCTTAGGCCACAGTCCAACTTGAGAGACTGTCCAGGGGGAGCTCAAGAGGCCTCCCCCTCCTCCAGGCAGGCTGACTGTCCAAGTGGGCCCAACGAATCATCCCACAGGATCAAAAGGGAGCTCTGCCAAGGCCGGTCTCTCCGTTCCCCACCCGCGTGATGGAAGCATCTAACTTGGGGGACACTGTGCTCATTCTCACCTATCAGAAAGTGGACTCGATACAAGTCAGATTTCTGGAGCAGGCGCCGAAGCTTGGTCTGTGTCTCGCTGGGCTCCGAGCCCTGGCTGCCGGCAGCCGCCCTCTGCTGCAGCACCTCCTCCAGGTAGAGAACCGCCAAGTGGGTGTGGTACTCTTCTTTCTACAGGAGAGGGGGTCCGACAGACAGAATTTGCTGAGTGGGAAGCCTGCAGATCCCCACCATCAGCCACTGTGCCCACGACCCGGCCTGCTCTGAGGGGACCTGGGGAAGATTCTCAAAGACAGTGGATGTGACGCTCTTGGCTGGTGGGAAATCTCCCAGAAACCTCAATGCACAGAGGAGGAGCTCACAGTTCGTGGTGCTACAGTTTGAATGTTGCATGTTCCCCAAAGGCCCGCGTGCTAAAGGCTTGGTCCCCAGGGAGGTGAAACTGGGAGGTGGGGCCTAATGAGAGGAAGTTGGGACACTGTGGTTATGTCCTAGAAAGGGATTATGGGACTATAATCTCTTCCTCTTTCTCTCTTTCTCACACTGGCCCTGAGGTGAGCAGCTTTGCTCCACATCTGCTCCTAGCCATGATAGTCTGCCTCATCACAGGTCCCAAAGCAACAGGCCCAACTGACCACAGACTGGAACCCCGAAAACCAGAAATCAAAATCAACCTTTCTCTTCATAAGTTAATTGTCTCAAGTATTTTGTCAGAGTGGTGGAAAGCTAATGCATGACTATGGAGAACAAAAGGGTTACTTGTCATTTTGTGAAGTAAGGGCCACAGGATTTAGGTATTCTACAAAAAGGCCCAAATTCTCTCATTTCTTTTGGAGATAATAACAGAGGGAAAACAGAAGAACAATATAAATATAGAGGACAGGAGGTAGCAGTGAAAGGGCTACCTATTCCAGTGGGTCTCTTTCACTGAGCCTCAAGTTCCCTCAGACATCCACAAGTACAGACTGAGCAGCCAGGGAATGGGAACGTGACATCAGAACCATCTGCTAAAAAAGCTGATAGCCAGGCTCCACCTCCTGTTGTGCTCACCTGCAGCCTCCTGTCAATAACGAGATATTCCAGATATTTAACAAGAGCTTTAGGGTATTTTTTAAGGCAATTGATAATATCATCTGGATTAAAACTATTCTTCTGCTGTTCGTCCCAAGGTCTCTTGGTGAAAACTTGAACGCCAACCTAAAGGAAGAGCAGAATAGTTATTAGACTTTTTGAAGTCACTTTTTCTTCATCTTTATTTTGGTCACTATGCATTCATGATTTGGATAAAATCATCATAAAAATATGATGATGAAATACATTCAGTAGGTACGACTTTTGGGGTGTCAATCATATCCCAATAGAGTGGCTAACAAATATGGTTATGGAGAAACATGGTCCAGTAGGAAGCAAAGATAGAAAAGCACCCTCCACTCAGAAACCTCCCCTCAGACATCCAGCTGGAATTTCTTTAACAATGATTAGAAACTAGAAAACGAAGCATTTATCGGGTAATGAATTTTGACAACTCATGCAGTAACTATCTTGGACTATTAAGATCATCCCCAAACAGGGATGTTTCTTTGCCTAAGAATAAATGAAAATAGCCAAAAGCACTGAAAACTCAATACACTAAACTCAGATCTCTGAACCAAGATTAGCTATTTGGTAGACTATTTATGATAGATGGTTAATCTGGGATCTGACACTGGTTCCTGAACAGAACTGCCTCCTTTCACATTGAAATACTCTGGTCTAATTCCATCTTCAAGGAAATGCTAATGAGAAAAGTACATCCATGCCAGGTTCCCCTGGGCCTTTATGTGTGCGTGGTCTGTTGCCTGCAAACACATGCGTCTCCATGATCCCAAAACATGAGAAATGAAGTGGAACTGTTAAGAGTGTGAATTTGGGTTGTAAGTGTGGATTTGTGTGTTGGCTTTCTCACCAATTGGCAAAGATTCTGAATCTCTTTGAGTCTTAGTTTGCCATGGTCTAAAAAACAGGCCCACTTCAGGCTAGGGAAGGCTCAGTGGTAAGATACTTGCCTAGCATGCACAAGGTCCTGGGTTCCATCCTCAATACTGCATAAATAACAACTACAACAATATCAGAATAATAACAATGTGCACTTCGTGGAGTTGCAGTGCCATTCAAAGGAGAGACAGGTCAAGTGACAGGCCTATCAGGTGGCACACAGGATTCCAGTATGTTCTGCTGTAATTTGGGAGCCCTGAGAATGGTCTACCCCTCTCAGTGGCACTAGATCCATGTTATAAGTGTGAGCATGTCAGGAGTGGACACTGTGGGTGTGCCTCAGCGGCACAGGAGGGATGGAGTAAAAGGTGAGTGCACAAGGGCGCTGACCTTCCAGTCAGGACAGCATGTGTGTCTCTCCCAGGGGAGCCAAGGAAATAGTATGTCTTTAATGGTGAGAACCAAGAGGCTTACTATCTTTGTTACAGTCATCTGTGGGAGTCACTAAGGACTCTGTCCCTCTGTCCTGAGCATGCTATCCCCTAGATAGCCCACAGCCAACAGGTGCTTTACCACTCTTGTCATTTCTCGATGTCAAAGACGGGTTGACACAAAGGAGAATGAAATTATGGCATTTGCCAGTAAATGGATGGAACTAGACATTATCATTGCTAAGTGAAATAAATCAACCCCAGAAAACCAAAGATGAATGTTCTCTCTGATATGCGGATGCTGACTCCCATAGGGGGTGGGGGAGGGCACCAGATTGGACGAGGGGGCATGGGAGGGAGGGAGGGGACACTGGAATGGGAAAGACAGTAGAAGGATTCTGACATCACTTTCCTATGTTCACATATGAATACACGACCAGTGTGACTCTGCCTCATGTACAACCACAAGAACAGGAAGGTAGACTCCATGTATGTATGATATGTCAAAATATATTCTACTGTCATGTGTAACTAAAAAGAACAAATAAAAAAATAAATAAATGTGTTCAAAGGAAAAAAAAAGATGGGCTAAATCCTGCTCCCCACACGGGCCTCAATCCTGCTCCCCACACGGGCCTCCACACCCACAATTTCCATGTGGGGTGGTGGGAGCAGGCAAGGGAACAATTGGTGTCTCTGGTGTGGCCCAGGCCTGGGGCTGTCTCCTGACAAGGCCCAAAGCCTTCAGGGCAGCAGCCTGCTACTGCTCCGTGACAACAATGCCAGATGTCACTGGGGAGACAGGGAGACCCCACAAGACTGACGGGGCTAGGCTTTTTGCTTTTCTAGAAAAGAGGGCTTCCCAGGGAGAGGATTCTAACCATGTGTCTAAAAAGCACCAAAATTCAGAACTTTGGCCGGGCATAGTGGCACACACCTGTAATCCCAGGGGCTCAGGAGGCTGAGGCAGGAGGATCACTAGTTGAAAGCCAGCCTCAGCAAGAGAGAGGCGCTAAGCAACTCAGTGAGACCTTGTCTCTAAATAAAATACAAAACAGAGCTGGGGATGTGTCTCCATGGTCGAGTGCCCCTGAGTTCAATCTCCGGTACCCACCTGGCCCCCCCAAAAAAGAAAAAATGCAGAACTTCTTACAGAGCTGGAGTTCGGATGACTCAAAAGAAGGTATTAAAAGGGGAACAAAGAAATTAGAGGGGTTTGAAATGTAGCTTTTTTCCCCCACTTAAAATCAAGAGCTCTTTTGGTTGGTTTTTACCAGCCACCCTGAAGAAGAAGGCAATTCTCAAGCACAAACCTCCTCACTTCTCTGCAAGACCCAGTCGGCGTAGGTCCACACCAACTCCTGGTCTAAGCAGTAGGTGAGAAAATCAACAATGTACTCGTACAGGTCTGAGCGCGTGGAGTCCTCGATGTCCCCGTTCACGATGTTTACCCACAACTGGAAAGGAATCAAACATAAACATAAACAAAACCTAGAACATTACGTATGTTGCAGAATTAGCTTAGAAAGTCTGTGTGTCTACTTACTTGACCTTTTAAGACTTTTGGAAGAATAGGTTGAGAATCCCTCCTTGATCTGAAAACCCCCAATCCAAAACTTTGAACCCAGGGGAGCTTTACCACTGAGCACATCTCTATACCTTTTCATTTTTTATTTCGAGACAGGGTCACACGAAGTTGCTGAGTGCCTCGCTAAGTTGTTGAGGCTGACCTCAAACTTGTAATCCTCCTGCCTCAGTTTCCCATGTTGCTGGGCCAAAATTTTTTAAGCATGTTGATAATGCATTTAATTTTACTTTTGGTACTGGGGATTGAACTCAGGGGCATTCAACCATTGAGCCATATCCCCAGCTCTATTTTGTATTTTTTTATTTAGAGACAGGGTCACACTGAGTTGCTTAGTGCCTGGCTTTTGCTGAGACTGGCTTTGAACTCACAATCCTCCTCCCTCAGCCTCCTGAGCCACTGGGATTACTAGCATGTGCCACCAAGCCTGGCTTGATAATGCGTTTTAGATTTCAAATTTCAAACTGGGGTTGGTTCACCCCTAAAATCTATGCAAATCTTTCAAAATCTGAAAAACTCCGAAATTTGAAATACTTCTGATCCCAAGCAATTTGAATAAGAAGTATTCAACCTATAGTAGGACAAGTCATAAATGTCTAAATCAATTTTTAATTTCCTTCCTTCCTTCCCAATGTAAACAGCCCACAAAGTTTATGGGGACAGATGAGTGCTTTTCAATCTTTCTTCATAAAATAAATAAAATGGTGACATCTATAGACACAAAAGAATTCACCTACAAGCATCAGAAAGCATCTATTTCTATCTTCTCCATCATCTGAGCTCTTGATTCTCAGACTCTCCTTGGACTGTGATGGGAAGATGTATTTTTTCAAAATGCCTTGGTGATTCTGACCCCAAATGCTCCTGTTGCCTTTTGCCCAGAAGCTCAAGACAAACCCCATTGATAAAAATCTCTCGCTATTTCCATCAGAAACTTCCCTACCATACTAACTGAAGCTCACTGTCTGGACCCCAGAAAGAGGGAGCATCATGTGGAGCAGGAAGGGATAGAGGCCGCACCTCCCCCACCATGAGCCTCATCCAGCTGTCCACCTGGCTGGGCTTCTGAGCCCCGGCAAAAGCAGTACATCTAGGAAACAGGGCTGGTGATGCCAATCTGTCTTTCTGACATCAGAATCCCAACATCTTTTATGTTATAGGTTGAGTATCCCTTATCCCAAATGCAGGGGCTATAGATATTTTGGATTTTATATTGTTTCAGATTTTGGGATTTTTGCATATAGATAGTGATGTATCTTGGAGGTAGGACTCAAGTCTGAACAAGAAATTCATTTGTATCAAGTACACTTTATACACTTTGCCCAGAGGTAAATTTATGCAATATTTTTAATAATTTTGTGCATGAAACAAGGTTTTGTTTTGGGAGGGGGTACCAGGGAATGAACTTAGGGGCACTCAACCACTGAGCCACATCCCCAGCCCTATTTTGTATTTTATTTAGATTCAGGGTCTCACTGAGTTGTTTAGGGCTTTACTTTTGCTGAGGCTGGCTTTGATCCTCCTGCCTCAGCCTTCTGAGCCTCTGGAATTACAGGCATGTGCCACCACACCTGGCTGAAACAAGGTTTTATGTTGTTGAATTTTCCACTTTTGACCTCACATCAGCACTCAAATAGTTTTGGGCTTTGAAGCATTTTAGATTTTTCTGATTAGGAATGCTTAACGTATAATCATTTCTTCAACACTGACTTCCCCAAGCCAAATAACATAATCACATATATATTGAAATTTTATCTGTGATACCCGAATATGTTTGGGCTTTGGGAAAGAGGCGCTTAATCACTAAGCCACATCTGAGCCCCATTTTATATTTTATTTAGGGTCAGGGTCTTGCTGAGTTGCTAGGGCCTCACTAAGCTGCAGAGTTTGGCTTTGAATCTGTGACCCTCCTGCCTCAGCTTCCTGAGCCACTGGGATTACAGGAGTGCATCTGGCCTCCTTTAAAAAAAAAAAAAGTTTTTTAAAACCTTCCTTCTTCCCTCTCCCCTCTCCTTCCTCTACTCTACTGGACTTCCTTACACTCGTCTATTAATTTGTATTTGGTTGGTTCTTTATGCAAGCTTATCCTTCTCTCCTTGCTTTCCTCTGTTTTATTCTAGCTTCTGAAGATGGGAGAATACATTCAACCTTTGAGTTTCTGAGTTTGGCTGATTTCACCTAGCATGATGTTCTGCATTTCTATCCATTTACTGGCAAATGCCATCATCTCATTCTTTTTAATGGCTGAGTAGAACTCTGTTGTGTATATACACACCACAATTTCTTAATGCACTCATCTATTGATGGGCATCTGGGTTGATTTCAGAATTTAACTATTGTGAATTTTGCTGCTCTAAACATTGCTGTGGCTGTGTTGCTATAGTAGGCTGATTTCAAATCTTTGGGGAAAATACTCAGAAATGGGATAGCTGGGTCACCCCTAGTTTTCTGAGGTATCTCCAAACTGCTTTCCAGAGATTTAGTCTGCAGTCCCACCAATAATGTACCAGTGTTCCTTTCTCCCCACAACCTTGTGATAGTTTCCCAAAGCAAAACTAAAGACTAAATAGACACTTGGCTTTGCCAAAGTCATGGAGTTGATGTTAGTTTGGTGAATATGGTTGATGTTCTTTGCTTCACACAATGAAACAAAAAAGAAATGTGCATATATACACAATGGAATATTACTAAGCAATAAAAGAGAATAAAATCATGGCATTTGGAGGTAAATGGATGGAGTTAGAGAAGATAATGCTAAGTGAAGTTAGCAAATCCCCCCCCCCAAAAAAAACAAATGCCAAATGTTTTCTTTGATATAAGGAGGCTGATTCATAGTGGGATAGGGAGAGGGAGCATGGGAGAAATAGACAAACTCTGGGGAAGGGAGGGGGCATGGGGTAATTAATGAAGGTGGGATGTGATGATCATTATTATCCAAAGTACAGATATGAAGACATGAATTGGTGTGAATGTACTGTGTATACAACCAGAGATATGAAAAATTGTGCTCTATATGTGTAATAAGAATTGTAATGCATTCTGCTGTCATATGTAAATATATATATATTTACATATATATATATATATATATATACACACACACACACACACACACACACACATATCAGAAAACCAGTCCAACACGCAAAAGAGTGGATAACAAAGAACGGAGGGGAGAAAGTGCTCTGAGAGTGTGAGATGAAGCTGTCAGGCTCAAAAGCAAGCTGGAAGATGCAACAATGCAAGGTGAGAGACAGGCTGACAAATCCATGCTATTTCTCTCCAGGTGCAGTACCCCTGCCCGGCCACCTGGAGCGCTGGTTCAAATCCCAGCTCCACCTGGGATCACAGGCATGGCCTTGATCAGCTTCAGTTTTGTCATGGTGACATAGGGATAGTAATTTACCCAGCTCATTGGTAATGGTTATTGTCAGGAACAGTGGAAATGATAAATTCAATAGCTATTTTCTGCCCTAATTTTCTTATAAGACAATGATGTCACATACCCTGTGGTTCAATAAGAAGTCTTATTCAAATAAGTAGAAAAAATAGTGGTTACTAAAGGTTAGGAAGTAGGGAGAAGAAGGATAGATGGAAATTGGATAATAGGAAACAAAATACAGTTAGAAGAAGTAATTCCTACTGTTCTACAGCTCAGAACTGCAGTTTACAACAATTTATTACAGATTTTAAAACAGAGGAGTTCAAAGATTCCCAACACAAAGAAGTGGTAAATATGTTTAAGGAGTCGGCAATGCTAATTACCCTGATTTGACCATTTCGTGTCCTGTACATGTATCATCGAGTTATCACAACGTACCCTATAAGTATGTAAAATTATTTCACGTCTACTTAAGAAAATTAAAAATAAATTATCAGTACTTTTTCATTTGAAAATTTTTCAAGTTTCAAAATCTCAATCTGGATAGTGCTCTTCAAAGAATACAAAGAAATGAAAAGTCTTGGCCATCATTTCTCAAGGAATTCACTTTCTAAAACAATATTATTTTTGTTCTGGATAAAAGGAGATCAGGCAAAAGTGGTTTCTATCAATTTGTGGATTTAGCTTTTTTTGCTAAGTAACACTGAGTTAAAGGACACCGATTTCAACATAATGCTAAAATGCTTTTGGACCCACCTGCAGTGCGGCAGCATCTTGGTTATTGTAATGATAGAGAAGTCCAAGTGCAAAATACCTGGAAGAGAACAAAGTCGTCAGGACAATGTGTCCCCATGACCCGCTGCAGGCAAAACCAACATAGTGACCTCCCCTGGCTTGCTCCCCTGGATCCTATTCAACTCAGAAGACAGCTAACTTCAAACAAAAGGATCCTCACTTCTATTTATTTTGCTTATGGCACTAAAAACAGGTGCTCTATCAATCTCCAAAAAAGGATGATTCCAACCTTGGGAGGGCTGAGAAAAGAAAATACCATGATACTATGTGAAAATAGCATTTGGAATTGCTTTCTATTTTGCTTCAAATACTAATACAATTTCATATATCTTCAGTTACCACAGTAGCCCATGACACAGTGGTAAGAGCATGGGGAAGGTCCACTGTCTGAGCATTTCTTGAGAAAAGGGCAAGAAGCTTCAATCTGAACAACAGCAGAGAACACTGATGGTGTCCGGGAACCATAGACAACAGAAAGTCAAGGGGATTCAGGAAGAGGGTCCCAGAGGTCAGAGACCTCAGTTTCTACTAAGGCTTCGTGACTGATGAACTGAATTGCACTGAGCAAGAAGACTAACTGACCCAGTCTTCTACGTCCTCATTTACAAATGGGAAGGACTGGCACTATGCTCACAAACTGTTTCAGAATTTGAAGCACTTCAGATTTGGATTTTCCGATTAGGGATGTTTCACTGCAGAAGTCTATACAAACATCCAAAACTCTGAAAGTCTGAAACCTGCAATGCTTCTGTTGCAAGCACCTTAGGTCAGGAATACTCAGCCTATAACACCACTCCATAACATGTTCTGGTAACCTGGGAAACTGAGGACAGAGCCAAAACCCTTGTGGAAGCCCAGGTCATCTCAGGCACTGAACAGGGTCTAGCATGGTGACCCCCCAGGATCTCTGTGGGATTTCATCAGTCCTTCTGCCCCTTCAAATTCTTAACAAAAATCATAGGCAAAAAAATATTTTTAAAAAACTTACTGCTTATATGAAATTGAGAGATCACCCAATGCCCTTCATTTTTAAAGATAAGAAAACTGGGGCCTAGAATGATCAGTTCTGTGACTTCCTACCCTGGATGAAGAAGCTGCCAGCCCTAATCAAGCTAGTCACTATGCACCAAGCGGCCCTGGACAGGAGGCTGCTACTAACTCATGGACGTAATGAAGGCAGTTTTCAACCATGACTTTGTGGGACCAAGGTCAAAAACCATATCACTTCATCATTTATCCAGGTGTCTATTTAAACAGTTTGGTTATCAAAGACTCAATGCACTTTTTTTTTTTTTTTTGGTACTAGGGATTGAACTCAGGGGCATTTAACCACTGAGCCACATCCTCAGCCCTTTTTTGTATTTTATTCAGAGACAGAGTCTCACTGAGTTGCTTAGCACCTCGCTAAGTTGCTCAGGCTGGCTCTGAACTTGTGATCCTCCTGCCTCAGCCTTGAGCTGCTGGGATTACAGGCGCATACCACCACACCTGGCCAATGCAGTCTTTAATTAAAAATCACATGGCATTTGCACAAGTGAATCCTCGGTTGACAACAGAAGAAACTTAAAAACGGCTCCATTTAATAACAAAGCCCGTGACTAGTTCTAAATTGTAGTCTTACTATTAAAGAATGAGGAGAGTGAATGGCCCCGACACCCCTTGGATAGTGATAAGAGCAACAGCATCTGGAGAGCACTCAGCTCCTGAGGTCACTGCAATTTCAAGGTAGCCACTGAGTGGACCTGCCAGGAACCAAATGTCACACTGGCTACATCAGCTTCGCGGCAGAGCCCAAGTGGGAAGCCCGTCCCGCTGGAGGAGAACACTCACTTTTTGTGCTTCTCTAGCCAGGCAGCGCTGTCCGTCAGAAGACAGAAGTTCTCGGTGACCAGGAGGTCCAGCAGGCTGTCGTGGTCAGCCTCTGCATACAGCTTGAGCAAAGCTGTGTCAATGTCCTCTTTGTAGCCATTAGCGACCTCTGTGCTGCGGACTTCGTTCAGGTAGCTTATGAGGAAGCGTTTGCACTTGGCCATCTTCTCCTGGTCCCCCTGGGTCAGCTGGTTCAGGTCTGCGTACTCGTGAAGAGGAGGGTGGGACCGAGTGAATGAAGAGGAGGTGGGCAACAGGAAGGGGTAGAGAGAGATCAGCTCCCGGACGTCAAGCTGGCCGCTTCTGCAATTACAGTGTCAAACTAAATGAAGCAAAAAGAGAGAAAGAGTACACATAGGCACACAAACGACACTGGAGGGCAGTGCCTGTGGGCACATGTGAACAGGGGTGGACACGGGGTGGCACATCGGAGCGATCCTCCAAATCTGCAAGTACAAGGCAGCACTACCTATCCTGTGACACCACCTGGTTCCACAAGAGAACCGGGAATGACAGTCACAGACACGTAGGCCCACAGCGTGCAAGTGGAACATCGAGATGCCTACGTTACCAGGAAAACCCAGGGTAGCCCTGGCACCTCAGAACCGCGGCAGACCAAGCCCAACCAAGGATGTCATCACATCGGCATCCAGGCAGACAACGTCACAGTTCTTCCGAAAACCACTGTTTTCCTGACATTTAATTATAAATAGATTGTGGGACAGTTCTTGAAGGAGAATTTATAAGAATCTGACACAAGCCAGGCATGTTGGTGCATACCTGTAATCCCAGTGGCTCGGGAGGGTAAGGCAGGAGGATCACAAGTTTGAGGCCAGACCCAGCAACTTAGCAAGACCCCGTCTCATAATAAAAAACAAAAAGGACTGGGGATGTGGCTACGTGGTCAAGTGCCCTGGGTTCAGTTCCCAGTACCAAATAAAAGAACCTAACACTGGCAATGGACTGACTACGTAAGAGACAGAACTATTCATACTGCCATTTCTGCTGTGACTCTTGATAGAATTCAGAGCAGAACATTAGGACGCAGCTTTCAAATGTTCTGTTCTCAGCAGAACATCCTGAGACCACATTTGTTGATGTCCCCTGTCTAACTCATTGCTGGGCCCTTTTCCCTCCAGCCTGCTGGTCCCCTTGGCAATAACAACATCAATGGAGGCATCACAGAGCTATAGGTCTCCACCTGGGCCCAATGTCAGAGCCACCTATGGGATAGTTCTGGAGGAAAAAGAAGTGGGGACTGTCCGAACCCTGGCACTGTCACTGCCTGCAATGTTCACTACATCCCCTCAGTTGGTCTCTGAGTTCCCATCCCCCACTCCACTGGCTTCTGCCTTGGTCTCCCTTCCTTCCACTCCCCATCCCCGCACCCTCACCTTGTCATAGAGCACCTTAAACACCTATGAATTCTCTCAGACTTTTTTTTTTCTTTTTTTAGTACCAGGGATTGAACCCAGGGATGCTTAACTACTAAGCCACACTCCTAACCCTTTTTTATATTTTATTAGAGACAGGGTCTCGCTGAGTTGCTTAGAGCCTCATTAATTTGCTGAGGCTCGGTTTGAACTGGTGGTCCTCCTGCCTCAGCCTCCCAAGTCACTGGGATTACAGACTTGCACCACCATGCCTGGATCTCAGTCATACTTTTGACAAAAACTGAGCAGCAGTCAACCTGAAGTGGAGCTACTGAGAGGCTAATGTATGAAAGAACCTTGTCCTAATGACAGACAGGCCCAACTTCTATTCTCTTTTTTGTAAGGTCAGGCAGCGGGGGCAACCAAAAGGAGGCAGATTTTAAAAGGCTGCCGAACGAGGCTTTATTGAGATCCCACTCCTGGGCAGAACCCTCAGACCAACAGAGCAAGAGGAGGGTCTGAGGAGAAACCGCGTGGGGCTCAACTAGACTGGAGTCCTACGGGGCTCAGGGCAGGAAGGGAAGGCTTGGGACAGGAAAAGGGGTTTTAGAGTCCTTTGTCCCACTGGAGTTGGACGGGGAACTGACTAAGATCCAGGATTGGCCAGGAGACCCTACTGATTGACAGGCAGTTCCATCGGTGCCCTATCGGTGTTTCTTTCGTGGGGGGGGGGGCTGCTTGGTGCTTTGTTCCTAAGTCACTTCATCGACCTAACACTCTTATCAAAACAGGAGACCATGCATCCATGGCTATTCGCCCACTGTCTCAGATTGACCCACAAGGAAAAGAAGATGTTTGGAGATAAACACACCATGATACCAATGAGGAGGTATTTGACATTGCAGGAAAAAACAAGGAATGGCAGAAGAGTTGAGGTCCAAAGTCACAAAGAATCTATTTAAATCCCGAAGCCACTGATCTCTCTAGGAACAGATGGTAGCAGCACATAGGATTTGTAGGAGTAAAAGTGGTATCAGTCATCATTACTCACAGAATGAGTCTTGACATAGAAATCCATTCTCTACACCCAATTTTGTGAGCAAGATGTCAGTACATGTGCGGGTTATACGCGATCATCTCCAAGAATGGGCAACAGATGGTATGACACAGACAGGGTTCCCCTCAAGTCATCACCGAGCTGCAAATGATCTACATCTCGTTTGCTAGGTAGCTATAAACTGCAGACTCTGTTCTAGTGAGGTGCTGGGAAAAGTCACTGGGAAGGCATGGCTTCAGGGGGCGGGGCTTCAGGGGGTGTTCAAGGGTGTATAATTTCACCTCTCAGGCAGTGCTGAACAACCTTCCTGAGAATCTGCCTCACCAAGCACCCCACCCCGGCAGAGCAAGGGCAGCTGGAAGAGCAGGTGTGAGGGCAAGGGGTGTGCTTGTAGATGGGCACAAGTGATGAATGGCAAAAGTGGCTCAGGGGAGCTCCCTGCAGGTACAGCATTAATCACAATGCCCAGGGACTCCCGATGACAAAACTCAGCTTCCAACTTCCTAACAGAACTGACCAGGAATATCACACTTCAAAAGCCTTTAGAAGACAATGAAAAATTTTCATAGCTTTTTCCAGAAAGCCCTTGCTTTTTCTAAATTCAGAATCTAATAAAATCTTCGGAGAGAAGGAAGCACAAATAGGTGGTTCCTCAGAATCCTCACATGAGCACCCTTCAGACTCCTCCTCGGGCAGCCACAGCCCCAAGGCCTCCTCCACAGAATTCTCCTCACAGACTGCCTTAGGCTGATCCTCAGCCTCACCCTACCTAGAACTAGGCCCTTTCACCTAAGGCTGGGACCCACCCCAGCCTGGGAGGTGAGAGCCCCCCCACCCCATCTGCAGCTCCAGCTAACCACTATAGCATGTCCCACCAGGATGTCACAGGAGCAGGAGGTCTGAGCACAGGGGGACACTGTCAAGGCAGCCTTGCTACTGACACCAGAAATTACCTGAATAGCTCTTTAGCTTCCAGGAACTGAAGTTGTGCAAACTGGATAAAGCCCGCCTGCTGCAGAATCCTTCGGTACATGACCTGGAAGGAAACACAGATTTCATTTCTTAGAGACACCTCATGGCCGTCACAGAGAGCAGGAGGTATCACTTCATGGTAGAGCACTTGCCTAGCCCAGCACTGTTGAAAGAAGAAAGGAAGGGAGGAAGGAAGGGAGGGAGGGAGGGAGGGAGGGAGGGAGGGAGAGAGAGAGAGAGAGAGAGAAAGAGGAACCTAAATTTCAAATCCACAACTCAAGCTAAATGATTATTATTATACAGAAATAGGAAGTTACAAGTTAGAGAAAAAGTATATATGAAATTATATACACGGTCACCCTTTAGTGCCCAAGAGGGATTAGTCTGAGGGACCCCTACATACACCAACATCCAAGGATGCCTTATATAAAATGGCACAGTATTTCCAGAGAACCTATGCACACCCTCCTGTATACTAAATTATCTCTAGATTATTTATAATACCAAATGCAACGCAAATGCTATGTAAATAGCTGTTATGCCATATTGCTTATGAAATAATGTACAAAAAAAGGCCCGCATTTGGTCAGTGCACATGCAACTTTGTTTTTCTTTTCAATACTGGGGATGGTACCCAGGGCCTCGTGAATGCTAGCAAGCATTCTACCACTAGGCTACACCCTCAGCCCCCTGATTGATTTCTCTGAATAGTTTTGATTAACAGGTGTTTTCATGGATTTGTGTCCATAAATCTCCAATCCTTCCTCACTGTATGGCTTTATCTTCTCCTCGTTATTAAACAGCAGGACTTCAATGTCTGCTTCTGCCTCTGGCTGCTCAGGTGGACAGAACAACTCAGGGTTTCTGGCAGTCTAGGAGCTAGCCGCCCACCCTCCTGCTCTTCCAAAATCCACACTTTCCAGAGTAGCCCTAGGACACAAGGTTTAATGACCACACAGATGCCTGGGCTCTCTCAGCCAGAGCTAGGGAAATGCTGTGCACTCTCTCCTGGGAACACCCCGCCCACAGCAGACGGCAGTCTGAGTTCCTGCAACCAAGGTGTAGTTACTGGTTTGATTCACTATGATACTGCTTTCCTCAACCACAGGATCCTTTGCTCTGTAACATGCAGCAACAGCAATACATGCTTCTAGAATCTTCCTGGGGCATCAATCCCACCCACTCCCTGTCATTGCCCAACTTCTCATTTTTGTGTGCTCACAGTTTGAAATGACTTCTAGACACTCTCTTCTCACATCAGTCATCCATAGTCCAGCCCTTGTCCTCCCAGCTAAAGACCTGGCTGTGTCTTAACTGTTCTCTCTGACCTTAATCCTTCCTCCTTCTAATCCACCACTCTCTTCCACAAGCCATCAATTCCCCAACCCAAGGCACACACCTCAGCATCCCCATACTACTGGCTGAATCTGCCATTTAGAGCTGATGGACCTGAAGGACTATGTGGTCCATTTCCACAAAACTCTACTCACTGTCATTCACCTTCCCCAATTTAAAGACAAGAAAATTCTGCTCAGAGAGGTTAAGTTTTTAGGCCAAAGTAACTCAAGTAATAAATGGTTGAGCTGTGATTCAAAGCCAGATCTTTCAGATTCTATAGGCCAATGCTTTCTGTTATTGCTTTTTTAGAACAATGCTGTTCTCTCAAATTAGCTTTAAAAGGACTTTCACTACAGTTTTATTTTATTTTATTTTCCTTTAGTGCTGGGGATGGAACCCAGAGCCTCACACATGCAAAGTAAGTAATGTTCTACCACTGAGCTACATCCCTGCTCACTAGTATCACAGAGCTCTCAAAAGTATTACGACAGTTCCTCCCGGGACCTCAGTAGATATTCTCTTATCTCCATCAGCTTTTATTTTTCTTCCCCTAACCAGCTATTTCTGACCTAAAGACAGACCTAATTATACCACCCAACACTCAGCCAAGATAGCAGGCCAAGGTTCTGTTGCCTGGGAATGCCAGGTCCATTTCTGAAAGTAGAAACGAGGGAGGCCATTCCTGCAGCAGGAAGGATTCTCAATCACACCTGAGCTTGTCAATGAGACATCGGCTGAGTGGCAATCCATTCCCTATGGCTGTAGGACTCAGATGTCATCTACTCTCCCACTACCTGAAGGAAAATAGAGATTATTTACTAACACTCCTAATCTCCACAAATAAGGAATGCTATGGTCTGAATGTGCCCTGAAAGGTCCTATATTGAAAACTTAACCCCCAAGTACACATGTGGATGACACTTAGAGTTGAGGTCTTTTGGTATTAATTAGGATTAGGCGAGGTCATGAGGGTGAGGCCCTCATTTGGCATTAGAAGAGGAAGAGACCTGAAGTAGCACTTGCTCTGCCCACCATGTGATGCCCTCTGCCATGTTATGATGTAGCAAGGAAGGCCTACCACATGCCAAGCAAATGCTAGTGCCATGCTCTTCCAAGCCTCTAGAACTATAAGCCAAATAAAATTCTAGTCTTATAAATTACCATGTCTCAGGTATTTTGTTAGAGCAAGAAAACCAACTAAGAGAGAGTGCTATTTTCTATATCCTAGTCTGAGAATGATACATGCAGACTTGGAGGGAGCATGCAAAAATATTCTTTCATCTTGGATTTAGGCCCCATGGACACTGAAATGAAGGACAATATAAAGAACAATATCAAATTTTACCTACAAATGCCTGATTAGAAACTTTAGCAAGTACAACCAATTCTTGGTTCTTTGAAGGTGCCTAATTTCCAGGTGTCTGACACCTCTTCTTGCTTTCTGCTCAGGTGATACCAATTACAAAACCTGTTGTAAAATATATGACCATGGGAAAAGGATAGGAAGGGTGAGTACATGGGAATGACGGGGAAGAGTTTTAGGTAGAATGTGATGTTGTTCTTTGTATCATCCTTTGTTTCAATGTCCCTGGTGCTTATATCTAGGGTGAAGGCACCCCTTGCATGTCTGTTTAGCTTCTAACACTACAGCTAACTCAAAGACTTTCTTCTTCTTCTTTTGTTATTAGTTCATCCTTTAGTTTTAGGAAGTTATCAAAATCCCCAGGTAGAGCATAATTCAGACAAACAGACATCTGGGGAGTCACTTAGTATCTACTCTGCCCCAAGGCTGGGGCCCAACACTCAAGTCAGACTAAAGTGGTCATGTGTATTCTGGGAGTAGAAATTGAAGTTAAAATCCATGTTAGTTCTGAGTGATATGTGTACGTGTATGTGTATGTATGTGTATATATATATATATACACATACATACACACACACGTACACACACACACACATACACATATATATATATATATACCCCACATACATACATACAATGACTCTGTGTCTGTCTCTATATATGCATGCACGCGTGCACGTGCGAACACACACACACACACACATATGAATGGAGATTTCTAACTTTTGTGATTTGGGGAATTGGAAATTTTATGAAGCCAGAAGAGTCTAATGCAAAGTTTTCTAAGCCTGTTCAAGACTGCACTGGCTAAGGTGGATATCACACAAAAGCTTCTGAAGCGAACAGTTCTTGGAGCACTAAATTCAAAGTGTAGTTTGTTCTATGGCTCTTCATGAATATGCTTTGCCTGAGGAAAAAAAAAAAGAAACTTCTCGAACTAATGGAATGTTACTCAGTCTTAAAAAGGAAGGGCATTCGGATGCAGGCTACTCAAAGAGACAGATACCGTATGATTCCTCTCGTATGAGGCACGCAGAGTAAGCAAACACATAGAGAGAGAAGGGAGAGGGTGGCTGCTGGGGCTGGGCATGTGTGTGCTGGGATGAAGTGGGGAGTCGGTGCCTAATGAGGATAGAGTTGCAGCCTGGGAAGATGAAATGTCCTGCAGATGGACAGTGGTGATGGCCGCACAACACTGAATGCACTTAATGCCACTGAAATGCACACTTCAAAATAGTTGCCATGGTCTATTTTATGTTATGTATATTTTACCTCCACCATCCCCAGAAAAAAAGAAAGAGCTTCTCCTAGCAGAGTTTTTTTTTTTTCTTTCTTTAGTGAACTTGATAGCAGCCAAAGGTTTCTGATTTCTGTGGTGACCTGCTGGTCAGACTGAAGCCCCCTGGGGTATGAGTCCTTGTGTGAGTCCTGGCTCTGCCCTCTGTTGGCTCTGTGCTCTGGGCAAGCCCCTCAATCCCTCACGCTGTACCTGCATCTTACCAGGGTCCACCTCACAACTGTGGTGAGGAAGACTCTCACTGTGTCCAGCGTGCACAACAAGACCTGGCATGCAGTAAGCACTCAATAAATGTTCTCTCTCTCTTGAGGCTGGGCCTGCAGTTTGCTTTCCTAACTAATGCCAGGATCTAAATTTTTTCCATCATCCTTTCAAGACCACTTGCTTGATTCTACTGTATCTATGAGTATTGGAGGGAAGTGGGGTGCACAGATCCTTTTCCCATGAAAGAGAAAGAGGTGAAGAAAATCAGGATGTTTTAATAGGAATCTTTCTACAAGCAGCAGAAATAATCCCACCCTGGCAGCACAGACCTCTTCACTGTGACAAGTGCTAGTTCCCAAGACATGGCATCTCTGGCAGCTGCACTTGCTCATGGGGCCAAATGTAACAGAAATGAGTGGCGAGGCAAGGACAGGGACCCACAGGGGTCACTTACTGTAGGCAGGAAGATGTTTCCTTGTAAGTCTGCAGGAAGTCAGCAGACCAAGGGAGGACTCAGACTGGACTGTTTCTCGAGCTACAACAGGGGCTTTCCAAGGAGGAAAACCAATCCAATGACCCTGTGAGCACCGCGGCAGCAGCTCCTGAGAACCCGGGAGCTGGGGGACGAGCAGACACACAGGGACCACGATGGCTCTAGCAGGCCCTGTCTCCTTCCATGGCCCTTTTTCTCCCAGCCACCACTGGTTCCTTAACCCTGGGATGGGTTGGGGATGGGAGGTTGTAGGTCACCTGAACTAGACCTGAGGGATTTCATGACAAAAACCACCTCAGACCTATTCTAGGAGTTTTCAACTGAAAAACAGATTCTTTTGAGGGCAGAAAAGCCTACTTATAGGATCAGATTTGGATCCCACTCCCCCTCAAGGGAGCACAGCCAGCCTTCCATATCTGTGGATTCTGTATCTATGGATTTAACCAACTGTGGATCAAACACATTTCAGGAAAAAAAAAATTGCATTTGTACCGAACAAGTACATTTTTTCTTGTCAATTATAATTTACATTGCCTTTATACTATATTAGGTATTACAAGGAACCCTACAAATGATTTGAAGTATACAGGAGGACGTGTATAGATTCTGTGCAAACAACAGCCATTTTATCAAAAGAACTTGAATATTCATGGATTTGGTATCTGAGCGGGTTCCTAGCACCAATCCCCAATGGACACTGAGGGATGTCAATAGATAATTTTATTCAGTCTGCAGGGCTGATGGACATGCCCTTCCTCACCAACACTGACTGTAGCCCCAAGAAGGCAAACCACCAAACACAGTCATTACAAACCAGCTAACAACTCCCAGAGGACAGCCCACTCCTGGTGTGGAACCGACCACTCAGATTCATGTCAAAACACACCCTACCTCACACCTAAGCTGGTAGATACATATGTGTGCATGCACATACACACACACACACACACAGACCTACCTAAACCCCTATACATTTTAGGATTTTCAGAAAGATAAAAATGTAATAAAATAGGATCACAGGATGGGTATACTAAAGGCTCTGAGCAAACCTTGAGTTATCAGTCCAGTTAATTAGCCTGCCAAAACAGAGCCTCTTCGCAGTCTGCACCCGTTACCATCCCTGCTTAAGTATCTGGTGAAACACAACCTGAGAAGTCCTGACCTGGAAGGAAGCCAGGAACTCACAGACCCAAAAGCAAGACAAGTGGCCGGTTCCCAAGGTGAGGAGGTTGAGCAGAGGTGGGCACAGGAAAAGAGGGAGCACACCCACATTAAAAGCTACTGTGAAAAGGAAACCCAAGGTCTTGCAAGGCAAGCTCAGGCTGCTTTCCAATGACTTGGGGTAGTCCCTGGGCGGTTCTGCCATCAACTCTGATGTGCACAGCTAGGTTCATTTCCTTCACCTGCCTTTTCTTTTGTAGGAATTGCTTTTTAAATTTTAATTTGTTTTGTAATTCTGTGAACTATTAGTATAGCTCAGTAGTCAAAACGACAAAATAAAGCATATTCAAAGAAGTCTCTCTTTTTCTACTTTCCCCTATTCACTACCTGCCCTGCTTTTTACAGATTCTGTTTTATTTGCACTTCTTCTCCCCTCCCCAGCTCTTACTCTTTCCTTCTTTCTCCTTCCTTCATTTTTTGTCTTCTTTTGATGTGTTTGTGTTCTTTATTCTAATTGTCACCTTAATGGTATCAATTTTACCAAACTCCTTTGGTTTTCTCTTTTTTGAGGCAGTTCCTATTGTGTATTTGTCCTATACAGTCTAGTGGATTTTCCCTAAGGATAAAAAGAAACGCAAGTCAAAAATATTCATAGGACAACTAGGGTAGGGTGAGTGGGCTCTGAGCAGGTCCCACCACTAGAAGTGCACAGTGCTGACCCGGGGTACCCTGGAGGATGGTACAGGGGTGACTGTTAAACAGGACACCCTGGCTTTTGGAGACACATATGAAATCCTTTTAGAGGAGATGGAAAGAAAACTCTACAGAGCTCAAGCTTAACTATAAGCACCCTCCCTATCACATGGCGCAAATCAGGAAATTTTGTGTCTTACATAAAGACCAATGTCTCTTTACCATCTCTTTCGATATTGCATCCTCATGCTTAATACAATAGAAGCCCTGCTTTCCTACAGTTCTAAGTAGCTCTCTGACCCTTTTGACTCTCGAGAAGAAACATTCCTATAATCTGAGTCCCACAGTTAAACTTTCTGATGACCCCCTCACTAGGTCAGAGCTCAGGGAAGCAGAACTGGTACCTGCTTTAAATGCAGAAAAAGGGGCATGGTGGTGTAGAACCAGTCCACTGGACTCCGGCCTCTCTGCCAGATCATCAGCATTCTAAAATCACAAAAACAATGCACCTAGCTATGAGTTGCATCTAATCCTTAAAATGCACACATTGAAGAAAAACTTTATCTAGATCTTTTTGGGGTTAATATTGTCTTACTGTCTTTTCTGGTTTGTATTTCATACAAAAACTCTGCTCCACTATATCACAGCTCTGTTGGGAGATCAGCTCAAAGCTCTGAGTTGTGAACTCACTGACTCTTTCCTAGGGAAGACTCTACCTAGGTTCTTGGGGAGGGAAAGGTACGTAGCTGAGGAGCACACTGATAAATAATGACAGGCAGTGTGATACACACCAATGCAGGTAAGTATCCCTTACCCAAAATGCCCGGGACCAGAAGTGTTTCAGATTTTGAACTGTTCCAGATTTCAGAATATTTGCATATGCATAATGAGCTATTCTGGGGATGGCAATTCCAAGCCGAAACATAAAATTCATTCATGTTTCACATATGCCTTATACACATAGCCTGAAGGCGATTTTCTACAATATTTTTAGTATACCAACATTTTAAATGGGGCCCAACACATGAGGTTGAGTACAGAATTTTCCACTTGCGGTGTTACACTGGCATTAAAAATAGTTTGGATTTTGGATTTGGGAGTTAGGGATGCTCAAACCATATCTGTCATGTGGAAGTGAGGAGGGAAGAGCTCTCAGCTCTGCCTGGAAGGAAGGGCAGGCTTAGTGACAAAGCCAGATTAGTGCAAGATATTGAAACAGGATTTTATCAAGTAGAAAAGTACACACTGGTCATGGAAAACGGCACAGACACTGAGAAATAAGAAGCAGGAGAGGGGGAAGTGAAGAAGTGCATGGCACATTCTGGAACTGGGGAGGTGCAGGCCAGCCAGGCAAGAGGGCTGCAGAGAGGCTGGCCTAGACTTCACAGCAGAGTATCCACAGGCCAGGCTGATCTGGCTGCCAGGCACGTGGGGCTTCTCTATCAAACAAACACTGGCTATTGCTGAATATTTCTGAGGATAAAATAAACAACATTTTAAAATGCTGTCTAGTTGTTCTCTTTGTCTTCTTCCTTTTGAGGTGGCCAAATAGGGGTTAGACATGTGTTTCATAGGGGTGAGGGGAACCACAGAAGATGAAGTCATAGAGACAGACTAAGGAGCACTTCAAGGGTTTGGACTTTACCAATGACTTACCCATTGATTATATTAAGGATTCGGTCACATGGAGCAAGATCACTCCTATGGTGGTGGCAGGGTGGACCACAGACACATAAGCAAGAGGCTGTTGACATGATTCAGGGGAAATATGAGAAATTTCTGGACACCCACAGTAACAACAGGAACTGAGAATAAAGGCTGTATTCACTATAATGCTGAAGATGTATCTCTACGGCTCATGTATGACTTCAGAGACATCCAGGGAGAAGGCAGGGAACAGGGGAGAAAGGAAAAACCACCCTGAGATACCAGACTCGAGAGCAAGACACTGATTATTTTACGAGGCGTTGTCTGTATATCTCTCTACTCATGGTAAAAAAAGTAGAGAAAACCAAAAATCAGATACAGAAGGCTGAACACTGAAAAGTTCGTTAAGAAAATGTTACCCACTTAAAAGTATGTCCGTAGATACCTCCCCCAAGCCGCTGAAAACCTTGGTGCACCCTGCTCCCCAACACTGCCCAGACAGCAGCACGTGTGGCCTCTCTCCACGGGACGACAGAAGGAGCCAACAGGAAGCAGCAGCCTGGGGATCTGCCTCCGCCCTGCATCCTGCCCTCCTGGCACCAGTACTGGCACAGCACAAAGTGGAGGCGAAATCACCTAAGTGTCCAGCACAGTAACAGCCCGTGAACACACAGCAGCTTCTTCTTCTTGCTTTTGCTGCCCCCTGCTGAATGCTAACAGATCAGTCTCCAACAAAAGTTGGGAACAAAGACGGAAAAACTCAGTGGTGCTTACACAGAGAAAAGGTATCCCCATTTTCAAATCCCGTAGCTGGAAATGACACATCTGTTCTGCGTTCACTTTGAAAAGCTTCCTCTGCCTGCATGGAGCAGCTGCGGCCCCAGCATACCATGTTGTTCCATAGCTGTAACATGATCATGTATGAAATCTGACCAACCCTACTAATTCGTGAGAACTTTTAATAATCAACTTGGATAACTGTATGAAGTGCATGCACACCATTATTTTATCACTCTCAAATATGTAGGCCCGAACACCCTACATCTGATTGAGTAATAATTCCCAGGGAACTTGACATCTATCAATTACATTTATCAAACCCATTATATTTAATGTTTCTTAAATGCATTAAAAGTTATTTCCAAAGGAAATCAACTAGGTTGGTTCCTTCAAATAAGCACTTTAACAATAGGGCTAGCAAAGCACTGCTATAGATGACAGAAATCTCAACTTCAATTCAACCTGCTCCACAAAGTCTAAAAATCAGAGCCCAATTAGCCCGACCTCACTCTTCTGGCTGACAGGAACTATGGTCTTGATTCTTCTAGGAAGCTCCACTGAAGACTAAATCGGTTAAGAATACAACTTAGTGTATCAAGAAGGAGGAATTAAGTCAGAAGTTCAAAACCTGATTATCTGAGTGCTGCACAGCCCTAGTGGAGCTGTTCCACTGATCTGTACGCTGAACAGGTGCAAAATGTGGAGAAAATTAAATAGCAGATACGAAAGCAAAGTGTACCGTCTGGTGTACAGTAAGGCCGATGGCGAGGAGTTGAATCCAAATGCTCCCTCGCTCGTGGCTGACAGGCATGCTTTCTTGTGACCAGTTAATTACAAACCTGAAATTTTTCTTTCGGAATGTTCCTCCGGGCTCCTTTTGCTAAAACCAAAGCCTCCTCCACTCTTCGGTTTGCTAGTAGATCCTGTATTTGTTTTTCCAGAGGTAATGGAACCAAGATGTAAACTCCTTTACTTGTGGCAACAATCACTCTTCCTGGGAAGAAATTGAACATTGTTGGGAAGGGAAAAAACACCGCCTGCGAGAAAATGTATTGCTTTCCCTCAAATGGATCATTATCTGATTTGTTAATCAATTTCACCGGTTTTTCCAATAGAATTCTTACAGAAATTATAAATTATAATGATTCCCTTTTCTCCTGCCCACACTAACGATTGTGCAAAAGGGATCAACTCTTAATACTCTATTTCCAAAGAATAACATCTGCTGTTTAGCCTTTTTCTATCAAAAAATGCTGGGGAATTTAAAATCAGTGTAGGAAAAACATCACATGGGGTCAAATTAAGCTATAGAGCTCTTTCATGAAACATTGTCAATAATAATTATGATATATTTCATGTAAGATTTATTAAAAATTTCCTTTCAAGTCAGTTAATATAGAACTAAGATGTTAATACAACATTTTGAGCCATGAGTTCATATTTTATGCTCACCTTCCATCCAAATACCTCCAATTTTTGCCATTAGCATCATCATTTCCCCACCTTCCTGCCAGTTCACCTGACTCAAGGCCAACACTGTTGTCCTTTCTGGACTGTGAGACCCTTCACAGGTCGCCCACAGAAGAGTCAGGACTGCAGACCAAGACTAGCTCCTACTATTGTGCTTTCAAATTAAATTTGATTTCCTGCCCAAGAAACTCTCATCCAAGCTTACCTGTGTACTAGAAGTAGTTAATGGGTCTTTTTGTTTATCTTCTGTTTTCTTTCTTTCTTTATTTTTATGTAGTGCTGAGATTCGAACCCTGTACCTCAAGCATGCAAGGCAAGTGATCTACCACTGAGCTACAACCCCAGTCCCATTGCCTTCTGTATTCTGACTAAAGTAGTTTCTTTCAAGCTCTTAGCAGATTCTGCCCCTTCCCTGCTTGGTGTCATTTTTTTCCAGGAAGCCTTCCTTTGTCCTCACACCAGGTGGGTTACAGCAGTCTCTTCTATGTCCATAGTTCCCTGTACCCACCTCTACCACTCAATGCACAAAGCCTCACGACACTGCTACACAAATGGTATCTGTATCCATAGGTCACTCATCCATGGATTAAACCAGCCAGGGAGGGAAATAATGGGGGAGGGATGCACCTTTACTAAATATGTACAGACTTTTTTTGGTCTTCATCCCTCAAATATAAAAAGAACAACTATTTACATGGCATTTACAGTGTATCAGAAGTTGTAAGTAATCTACGGATTATTTAAATTATGTCGGAGGATAAGTACAGGTTCTATGCAAATACTAGAACATTTTATATACAGGACCTGAGCATTTCTGGATTCTGGATTCAAGAGGAGTCCTGGAACCAGTCCCCAAGGATACCAAGGGATGCCTTATATTCTACTCCATGTCACATTTCAGTCCTCCACCTAGAATGTGAGCGACTTTGCACTGGGGACTCTTTCATATGGTTTATGTCCCCTGCAGCTAAGATACAGGGAGGGCATCGTTTGGTGAACTAAGATTCTTAACTGTCAAACACAATGCAAAATCTAGAATAGTTCCTGTGTTTGAAGAAAATATAACAAAGAAAGTTCTTAGGACGAGTAGGGAAATCTGAATACAGGGGGGATATTAGATGGTACCACACAGCCAATGCTCATGTTCTTGGCTATGAACATGGCAGTGTGGCATTGGAGGAAGATGCCCTTGCTCTTAGGAGACGCCTACTGACCTACATCAGCGTTAAATTTCATGACGTCCTCCTCTTACTTTCAACAATTAACCAAACATTAACAAGTACTGAATCTAGGTGAAGGGTTTATGGGAGTTCACCTTGTTTCTCTTTCAACTTTCCTGTATGTTTGGAAGTGTTTAAAATAAAAATTGAGAAAAGGTGAAACAAATCTCTTAACTGGTGCACAAGATGAGGTGGCTCCCTAATTGCCCCGGTGGGCTTCGGCCTCAGCTCACTCACCCTTCCACCTACACAGTGCAGTGCTGCTACGGTGCAGAGCTTGATGGGCCTGGGTCTCTGGTCCCTCCCCATTCCCTCTTGCACAGATTTGCACAGGTCTTTTTGTCTCCTGGAAGGGTCTTCACACCACATCTGCTTGGCCAGCTCCTTCCCATCCTTAAAGGTCTGGCTCAAATCCCTTCCCTTCATGAAGCCCTCCCTGAGATCTCCAGGCAGTGCCTCCTCTTTTGCTCACCCAATGAGCCTTATTCCAAGTCTGTCAAACTCTTAAACTACTCTAGCTGTTGACTAAAATCTCAACCTTGCACTACCTGAAGTGAGAACACTATATTACAGTCATTTGTGTTTCTTCTATGCTCAGATTGAGGCCCATTTCCCAAGGGCCCTAGATCATTTACCAAAAAAAAAAAAACATCAAAAAGGTGTTTTTTTGTTTGTTTTTGCAAAGTCATTTTTATTTATATAACCAGGAACGAAGCAAAAATCACCAGAAACTTTAAGTATACTAAAATAATATTTTAATATCATATAGTTACTCAGTTTTATAAAGAAGATAGACTGTCATATATACTCTACATAGAGTGACAGCCTCTTCCCACCAAAAAAAAAAAAAGATTTGATAAATAATTCTATTTAAGATTTCAACAGGTACCTTCAAAGTCCTGTAGGATGTGGCCTTCCTTAAAGGGCAGGGTCTGTTTCTGCTGTTGATCCAACATGCTGTGGACTGTGATGAACTCGTCATCAAGCGCTATGACATATGGGAAGCAAACAGCTGCCCCAATGACATTCTCCGCCCAGTGCACGGGAGCACGCTGGGATATCCCTGCGACGGTGGCAAACATGCCTGTAAAAACAAGGAGAAAGGGGTGGCTGACTTGTCATGTTAACTGTGGTACCTTTCTTCCTATAGCCATGTCCGAATGCAGCAAAGTGGGCGATGAAGTGTATGTTTCTACAGCAGTGAAGGAGCAGTGGCGCAATCAGCAGGCAAACACAGCTAATTTGCAAACAGCACACCTTTTCTGGGGGAGTAGCAGGGATTGAACTCAGGGGCACTCAACCACTGAGTCACATCCTCAGCCTTATTTTGTATTTTATTTACAGACAGGGTCTCACTGAGTTGCTTAGCGTCTCGCTTTCGCTGAGTCCAGCTTTGAACTTGCCATCCTTCTGCCTCAGCCTCATGAGCCACTGGGCATTACACCTTTTAAAAACATTCTTTTCTGCTATGCACCCTTTAAGTTTCAGTTCACCCCCTCGTCTAAGCTGGAAGGAGAGCGGCCCACATGGGGTGAGCAGTGGCTGCAATATTTGCCTTTTTAAAGAAGCATTACCAAGAGATACAGTGAAAATTACCATAATCAATTGTATTATGAAAATTCAGCAAAGTATTGCTTTGCAAAAAGTTAAAAGAGCAATTTCTCACAACATAGGAGTGCTTACAAGTTATAGTCAGGGAGAAAGGCAGCAGATAAAATGAATACAGATGCTTTTATGCTGAAAGGTGCATTTCCATTCAGCATTATTAGTCTCTGAAGACACGTAATGATGCTGGTGATGGCTGTGCTGTATATACAACCTACAAATATACAGGGTGTGTGTAAGAGACCTTACAACTGACCTTTCAATTTGCTAATATTAGTAGCAATTGCAAGAAGGATGGTTCATTTAGCATGATGCTAAAGGTAGTCAAGACAGAGTAAAGTTGGGGGTAAATGCAACCTCATTTTCCTTAATTTTAACACTACAACAATCAAAGGGTGCTGGAGTGGAATATTTTCACTGTAAAGCCTTTATAACTAAAGCAGTTAGGTGCAGGTCCAGGAATAGTTAAGAGGACAGATGAACAAAACAGAAAATTCAGACACAGACTGAAGGGTAGATGGAAATATCAATATTCACCTAAGCTAGTGAGAAGATGGACCCTTCAGTTGGTTGAGCTAAGTGGATAGCCAAAAGAAAAACACAAAACTGAATCTGTTCTTTATATAGGAAGACATGAGACTATACAAGTACTAGCAGAAAACACAAGTGAATTTGTCTAGAACCTTGAAGATGGGGCAGCATCCTAACTATGACTTAAAATCAAGAAGCAGTAACTGGATTAGATTATATATAAAAAATCTTTGCATATCAAAATATTCAAAACAAATATTTGAAACTTATATAGCAGATTAGTTATTTTAAATACACTAAAAATATATTTTTTTTTCCTAAAAAAAAGAGGCTAGTGGATAATAGAGGATTTGGGCCTGGGAATGTGTGACTCAGTGGTACAGCTTGTGCTTAGCATGTGTGAGGTCCCGGGTTCAATCCCCAGCACCAAGAAAAAAAAAGATATTAAACAAAAAAGAATAGATAAATCCCATCCAATGAAATGAAATTCATTGAAATTTTAAACATGAAAAATGCTTTACCTTACACATATAGGATATGCAAATTGAAACAAGAGTGACGCGCCATTTCTCAGGTACCAGACTAGCAAAAACACAAAAGTGTGGACAATAGACTGTGGGCAAAGCTGGCAGGTAAAGAGCCACTGTCATACATTTCTGGGGATAATACCTAGCAAAATTCACATGTGGTTGCCCTTTGACTCAGCAATCCCACCTCTAAAGAGCTTTCCCCTAGATGAAAGAGGAGGAGGAGGAGGAGGAGGAGGAGAACAGCCACACACGAAAAGGTTAAACAGCATAAGACTGGGAAAACCCCACAGAACTGGTGGATGAACTATGGTACTGTCCCACAGCAGAGTAATACGCAGCTGTAAGAATGAAGAAGGGCTGGGGTTGGTCGTGCACACCGGCAGTCCTAGCTACCCAGGAGGCTGAGGCAGGAGAATCACCTGGGCCCAGAAATTCAAGGCCAACACAGTGAGATCCCATTAAAAAAAATTAAAAATGAAAGAGGAATACTTCAGATTATGCTACAAAGCAACAGCCATAACACACTAAATTTAAAAAGCAAGGTAGAAAAATGTAGATTACCATTTAGGAAAAAAAGAAGGAGATGAGATACAAATATTTACGTATTTTTTTCATACGTTTTATTTAAAAATGAAAGAATAAGCCCTGAAAATATGAAAGTTACCTACAAGAACATACACTAGTCCTCTTTGATTATACCCTGCTGCATCACTTGGATTGTAAATATTTATATAATAAAAAATAAACAAAACTAAAGCAATTTCTTAAGATCTAAAAGTAAAATAAAACAAATCAACCTAACTGTATGCCAGTTGGTGGCATAGCCACACACAGGGAACCACTCCAAGGACTTTAAACCCAGTAATTTTTGATTCTTAATATCCTAAGGACAAAAAGAACCACCAACAATCAGACTTTTTCCAGTAATTATGCTGTGGAAACAGCAGTGTTGGTACTGCTGCTCTATTCTGCGTACTGTGGGATAAATCAAAGGAATGATGTTGGGGTGGTTTAAGCTCTCCTTTCAAGTAGATGCCAACATACAGATGGACCGTCCCATCAACATGAGCTCGTGATGGAAGTCCCAGTGCTGTCCAGAAAAGGTCTAGAAATGATGGCCAACCAGCACTTCCAGCCCCCAGACGGTGGTGTGTAACAGCAGGGCCCCTTGGAGGAATGGCTGAAACCAGACCTGGGGCAGCAAGTCAGGAGGTGAGCCCAGAACATTCCAGAAGATAAGAAAGCTATTAGATTTCTAGACTCCTGAGTATAAAGGTGCTCAGGAGTCCACCTGAACAAATGCACACCAAGCACCAATGGAACCAAGTGTATCACAAATGCTGAGGCCTGTGAGTTCATAATGATGCTTGTTAAAAAGTCATTTCTAGAAGTCAGAGGGACCACCACATGGTCTCATCCTACCTTTTCATGCAAGTGCTTAGGGATAATCAAACAGTAGAGGAGGACAGACTTTGCTTCACAGAAGCATTCCTGAAACACGTGAAGGAGGAACAGATGAATATCTCCTAATGACCCACTTGCAGAACAGAGGTCAGAGAGGCATATAAACATCACAGGGATAAAATCACCAAAATCCAGGCACTGAGAAGCTGTGGTTGAAGCCATCTAACTTCTTCAACCAAAAATTAAGTTAAAATACAAAGCAGGGGGGAAGCCTAAAAAAAAAAAATGAAAGAAAGAAATTTGAGCTACCAACCAACTGCAATGTATGGGCCTTGGTTGGAACCAGTTCAAACAAACTGAAAAACACACCCATAAATACAAGATGGGTGGGGTGTGCCTGTGGAGACAGAAGCAAGATAGAAAATCTCTATATTTTCCTCTCAATTTGCTGGGAAACTCAAACAGCTTTTAAAAATAAAGTCTATTTTCTTTTCTTTTTTGAGGGGGAATACTGGGGATTGAACTCAGGGGCACTCAGGCATTGAGCCACATCCCCAGCCCTATTTTGTATTTTATTTAGAGACAGGGTCTCACTGAGTTGTTTAGTGCCTCGCCCTCACTGAGGTTGACTTCAAACTCGAAATCCTCCTGCCTAAGCCTCCTGTGTTGCTGGGATTACAGGTGTGCACCACCACGCCCGACTTAAGGTCTATTTTCTTAAAAGTAAAACTCATGAAGAGATTTAACTAGTTCATGACCCAGATTTTAGTTAATATTAGAAAATGTTTCAATCACTTTGAAATGAGACATCCACACAAAAACTCTCGAAGGTTAAAACATTTGAGTGTAGAATGGATTCTCACCAGCGCCCTGCAACATAAACACACAACTAACTCTCACAGGAGCCACCCAGGACTAACAGAGCATACTAGAAGATACCACTAATGCTAATAGCTCTGTACTTGACCTTGAAATGCAGTGCAGGGAACTGGACAGGGCCACCTGAGAACAGCTACAGTCCCTTTCAAAAAGTGACTAAAAACTTTTTGGTGGGATAAATTACAGGAAAAATAGAGAATATAGGAATACTAGAGAAAATTATGGACAAAACATTAAAGCCCCCCATACACTGGTCTGGGTCTCAGGTGTCCCCAAAGGCCCATATGCCAAGGCTTGGTCCCAAGGGTGGGGCAACTGGCAGAACCTCCGGGAGATTCAGTGGGAGGTCTTCAGGTCATTCCATGCATGCCCTTGAGGAGGACAGTGAGACCTCGCCCCTTCCTCCTCTCCTTCACTTCCTGGCCGCCCAGGAGGTAACAGTTTGCTCTGCCACCTGCTCCTCACCATTGCCATCTGGAAACCCCACCAGGGACCCAAAGCAGCAGGTCCACCTGATTGACCATGGACCACAACTTCTAAAACTGTGAGCCGAAGTGACCCTTCCAAACACCCTCGTGAGCTGCCTCAACTTGTTTTCAGAACGAGGAGTAAAAACAACCACATTACACACCTACCCACTTGGGAAAAGCTAGAAGTTGTGCAGGGTTTTATTTTTGTAGTTATTTACTTAAAATAATTTTCCCAGCAGAGTCATCTGCAAACTCCACTTTAACACAGAACAAAACCACTTTTGCCTACTTAACTCCACATGCACTGACTGATGGAATACAGGACACGTGTCATGTAGTTTTGCCCTGATCTGGCCACAGTGTTGAGGAATACTGGCAAACACTCTTTATGAGTACAGTTGTGCTGCGCTTACAGACCACTGGGTCCACAAGGGACTGCGTACATGACTGGTCCCATAGAGCATGATATCACCCAGCGGCATCATAGCCATCCTAGTTGATGTAAGCACACTCTGTGGTAATTGCACCATGAAGAAATCACCGAAATATGCACTTCTAAGAACATATCCCTATCAGCAGAACATGCATGACTGTGTTAACTTTTCGCAGTTAACACCTCTCCCCTGCTGGGTGTGGTGTTGAATGCCTGTAATCCCAGCAGCTCACGAAGCTGAGGCAGGAGGATCGCAAGTTCAAAGTCAGCCTTAGCAACTTAGTTAGGCCCGAAGCAACTTAGGGAGATCCTGTCTCTAAATAAAATATAAAAAGGGCTGGAGAGATGGCTCAGAGGTTAAATGCTCTTGGATTCAATTCCTGGGACCAAAAAAAATAAGAAAGTAAAACCTCTCTCCTACTACAGCACACATTAGATGACGCGGCAGGATAGAGGTGCTGATGGTGGCAGCACCCAAGCGCCCTCCTCACCCAGGCCGCCGGGGCCAGCCAGCAGGAACTCCTGTCTGCCTATCCTCTTAACGATGGGCCGCTTCTCCTCACTGCAGTAGGGAAACAGGTCCTGGGAGAGGCCAGTGCTGTAGTTCAGGATGATGTACTGCGTGGTCAGAGCCAGGCACAAGAAATGGCCGTCGACAGCCACGGCCAGAGGCTGCTCGGGGGTGGACACTTCCTTGACGATCTGAACGCGGTCCTCGTACACAAGAAACACCTGGATGGTCCTGCGTTTGACGGAGATGATGCACACTTCCACGCAGAACGGGTCCCCGCTCACGGGGTTCTCGTTCAAAGCGAACGCAGTGGCCCCTTTGATGCGAGCCCCCGAGGGGACGGGCTCCAGGTTCAGCATGTTGAGCAGGGTGATGGAGTTGTCACACAGCACCAGCAGCCTGTTGAGGGCTGAGGCCGCCCGCAGCTCGTTCACGGGCTTCTTGAAGCCCAGGTGCCTGTGCAGCTGCTTGGTGGCAGTGAACGCGGCTGTCCCTGCGGGCAAAGTCTTCTCCTCCAGCAGAAAGTGATAGATGAAGCAGTCGTTGGTGCCTACGTAGAGGTTCCGGCCACAGCACTCCACGCATTCTATGTTGATGCGCTCCTTGTCACCCATCAGCAGCTCCCGCTCCACCGCAGAGACCAAGCTGAAGGCCTTGATGTTCACCATGTCTACTGGTTGCGCTGTCGGAGGAGAAAGAGGAAAGGGTGACTTCAAAGGAACAAGAAGCAAGCAGAAACATTTTGGGTTGCAATAAAGACACACTGATTCCCCACATCATTTCAACCCAAGAAAATAGGTTGATGCTGTTAAAAAATGGAAAGAAAAGATTTTTTTGCATGACCTGTCCCATGAGGCAACTGGGAGACCCAGCAAGGGGTATACGCACGGGTGCCTGTGATCACAGTGCTGTCCCCCTCCTTCCAGCAGAGCTGAGAGTTACATGGGGCTTCCTCCCCTCATTCCTGGGAGACACAGCTACCTATATGAACAAGAACATGGGCTCACCCACAGACAACATGACAAAGAGTTCTAAAAGAAGTAGAAATGATCCTTGTGGATCTTCCCCGAGCTTCTAGGGTTATTTTAATTTGCATTAAGAGAATGGTGGGATACTACTCCAGGAACCTGCCAGAAACAATGACCCATGCCTCCAATTCCTTGGTGCTCCTCCCAGGCTCTAATGCTGCATATGGCTCCAAACATGTTCATGTCAGGTAGTGAAGATGTGCCTCCAATCCCCCGTCTAGCTGAGAAGAGAGACCACCCCACATGCTACACTGGGCTTCCTATTCCTTCCTCTAAAGTGCGAGGCAGCAGACCAAGGTGGCCTCCCTTGACTTCTGGGTGGTGGGAGACAGCCCCAAGGGCACAGTCCCTAACACCCATAGGGGCAGTGTCAGCTGCTCTGGAGAGGACTGTGAAGACTATGGGAGTTACAGGGATGGCTCACATCAGATGTCTGGCTCACATCAGAATGACTTCTCCACTACTTCAAGTTACTCAATTTAATCTTCAATTTAAGCTCATGAGAGATTAAATTCCTTAATCTTCTAAGGCATCCCTGCAAAAGTTGGGAGGCCTGAGAAATATTCTGGAAGATGCACACATCAGGCAAGAGGAGGAATCAAATAACCTCTAAAGTGATTTTCAACTCAAAGACTTGACAGCTCCATAATTTCTTACACCTCACTTTCGCCAAGGCAATAACAGCTACCCATGAATGAGACTCCAGTTCCTTTCCCCGAGACAACAGAATCTCCAGAAGGGCCTGGGAATGAGGTTTGTTTGTGGACAAACCTCTTATCCCCTCCTATCACTTGAGCAAATTACTTGGTGCTGTGGTCTGAGAGAGCTTATTTGTCCCTTCCACCAGCTAGAAGTCACCATCTATGAAGAACAGGCCCTAACTGAGCACTGAATCTGCTAGGACCTTGATCTTGGACTTGCCAGTCTCCACAACTATGAACAATAGGTTTTTACTTTTGCAAATAACCAAGTTCATAGCAGCACCAAGACACTTGACTTTTCCATCCTCAATTTCCTCATCTGTGAAATGAGTATAAAAATAACAGCACCCACTATGTAGGATTATTTGAGGATTGAGTAAATCAGTTTGAGTAAAATGCTTAATTTCTGGCCCACTGCACCCTAAAATATTCTTAATCTCACTACAATTCCCTCCTGGTCTTGACCAGCTTCTACCCTTTTCTCAACCCCCAAGTCTGCTTCAGATGTTAATTTCCCTAGTTAGGTAACAAGAGAAGAAACAGTGCCACATTCTGTCCTCAGGTATGGGTAACCTCTCTCCTCCAAAGACTAAGTCATAAACAAGAACACACGGACACGCAAGCCCCCCACCCCAGCATCTTCACACTCATCGATGAGTGCTCATCTTCAGAGAGATGATGGGAAGGAGGCAGGAACTGTGCACAGAGGCTGTAAAGACAGCACCCACAGAAGTCACCCTGTCCATCTGTCCCAGGGCTGCAGGATTTCCACAGCCACCCAGGGACAGCTGGGTGAAGAATGCCTATAAGCTGCTACAAGTAATTCTGGCACAAACAACTCTTAAACATCACCGTCTATTTGTTACAACCAAATATAGTCACTAAAACCCACCTAGAGAATATTTTTTCCATTTAAATGCTAATGAGCAAGACCCACATATTGAAATATAGGCTTGGAGACATCTCAGTCAGTGAAAGCCAAATTAATACAGAATACTTCTTCCATCATTGGTTGATCAATCAGGGCTGTTTTTTAAAATGGCAGGATTCTGTCACTTAAAATATGAATTGTATCTCTCCCTTTGCAAAAAGAACAGGAAAACATGCTCCAGGCACCTATTATCAAATTCCTCTTATTTAACTTCTTAAAAGCAGATTGTCTATAATTCTAGCCTCTATCTTCACTTAGCATGAAGGATAACCTGAACATTTTACAATGAAGAATATTATGGAAAGAGCCAAACACCTTGCATTTTATCTAAGTACTGAGGCAGGCCATAAGGACAGAGAGGAAGAGGGACTTGTAAGAAAAACATGCGGCTTATCAAAAAGTCATAATTCTATGATATTAAAAAAGAAGTGCAATGTTGTTTCATTATCTGCTAACTACATTTATTCCAGTCTTGCCAAAGGTAAGTCTCCTCCTAGCAGGGCTCTTTAAATAAAGGACCATACCTAGTGAGACCCTGTCTCAAAATAAAATTAACTAATTAATTAAAAGGCCTCGGATGTGGCTCAATGGTTAAATCCTCTGGGTTCAATCCCTAGTACCAAATATAAAAAATAAAAAATTAAGGACTACTATAGTAATTAAATAGTAATTTATAAAAATCAAAATTAGATGGAGGTAAATGAAAGCTGACCACATCACTTAATAATGGTTTACTATTTTAAGCAGCAGGAAAATTCTCTCCATGATCTATTTACATGATCAATTTATGTAACTAAAATATGAATCATAAATAGATCAGGTTGAGACTACACTTCTCTATTGAATCCAACCCAATCAGAAGTTTCCATGTTTTAAAGTTTCCCTGAGGTACACAAATCCTTTACTGTGGGTTTCAAACTGATCTAACTTTTTGTTAGAACTGCACATTAAAAGCAAGATTGCAATTTAAAGAATAACATTTTCATGTTTTCTCCAAAATTTTCAAAATTTAGATCCAGTAAGAGAAAGACCCTGAAATGGTTTAGTACATTCACGGTGCATAATTTATGCAAGGGAAATATTACATATGCAATAAGTACCTCTAACTGTATAAGATAAAATAAAAAGTTATAAAATACTGTCTCATCTCCCAAACTTATTAAAGAAATAAGTCTAGAAAAATAATCAAATGATAGAAGAATATGCATTAAAAGCCACATTAATAGTATTAGCAAACATTTTCTATCAAGTTGAGAGTGTGTATATTGTCCTTTTAAAGATATTGCCACTAGTGATAATGTGAATTTAAATAAGTATCTCTGAAAATGCGTTTTCTGCAAATGTACACAGAAACATTTATCTTAGCACCTAGAGTTGTTCTTGTAAGAACCTGTTGCTCTTGGCATGTTCCCTTAGGCCCCTTAGATCATCTACAACTATACTCCAAATGACAAGCCCATTCTTTCTGGCTATCCATAGGTTAGCCAGAACAAATTTCTATCTATCTATCTATCTATCTATCTATCTGTCTATTTATATAAGCTTCAATAAAAAACGTGCATGCTTTTCACTTGGAGGACTATTAAAATAGCTATGTATGCTGCTGGAGGCCCTGCCTTGTTTCATAGCACACAGCCAAAGCCAAGAGAGCTGATATGGAGGAGTTTATGAGCAACGCAGAGCACTGGTTGTTTTCAGATGTCATGGTCACGGATTGTCCGATGAAGTAAGCACTAGGTCTAGACGGTTCTCCAGGCTATTTCTGCCAAACACCTGGAATCACATAATTCAAATTCTACATAATTTTCCTGAACATTAAAAAAATGTAATATTTTTTAGTTGTAGATGGATACAGTACCTTTATTTTATTTTTATGTGGTACCAGGGATCGAACTCAGTGCCTCACACGTGGAGGCAAGCACCGTACCATTGAGCCACAACCCTGGCACCTAAAAAATTTTGTTTAATAAAAAAAAATAATTTTAAAAAGTGTTTTATGAAGCCAGAAAAAAAGGTAAAACTTTGATATTCAAACCCAGGAAGGATAATGGGGAAAACATGGATCATTCTGACTCATGAGTAAGCATGCCTAAATATTAACACACTGAATCAACCAGTACATATTAAAAACATATAACATGTCCAAGTTGGATGCAACATTGATTTAAGAAAATAAAACCCATTGGCTTTAATTCATTTGTATTTACAAATTTTAAAAGAAAGATATTATTATTTCAATAGACACAGAAAAGTATTAAAAAATTCAACATTCATTTACAATTTACAACAAAAATTTGTAGCATATTATCCTACTGTCTGAAACAAACAAACCAAAAAACCTAACAGCAAAATCTTAGCATTATTCCCTTTAAAACAAGGAACAAGATGAGATGCCCAAGATTCTCCTTCAGAAGGAACAACACAACTGACACCCAAGCTCAGATTTCTACTCTCTGGAATTTGAGAGTAAATTTCTGCTACTTAAGGGATCCAGTTTGTGGTACCTCCTTACAATACCGTGCAAACTAATACACCATCTCTACTCAACATCCTAAGAGCCTCTGCCAATACAATAAAGCACGAAAAAGAACAGTTACAAAGAATTGAATAGACATAGGACTATAATTATTCATGAATGACATTATTGTTCATATGGAAACACAAAAGAACCTATTAGAATTACTGAGTTTAGAAATAATTTTCTTTAGGCTGGGGTTGTGGCTTAGCAGTAGAGTGCTTGCCTAGCACATCTCGGGAGGCCCAGGGTTCGATCCTCAGCACCACATGTAAATAAATAAAATAAAAGTATTGTGTCCAACTATAACTAAAAAACAAATGTTTTTTTAAAAAGTAAGAATTTTCTTTTAAAAATAATCATGTTCAAAATAAACATACCAAAGCAATCTGCATTTCTAGACACAAACAACAATTAGAAATTTTAATCTTAAAAAAAAGTAAAACAAGGTATAAGAAAATGATTTAACAAAGATGTATAAGCTATTTATGGAGAAATATAAAATCT